TCTAAACTCTGGCATATCTCCCCGGGTGTGTAGGAAGCTCTGTCGCTCTGAGGTAGTAGGTTTTCAACCAGCATCTGGCTCCTGAACTCTTATTGGTAGAATAAAAGGATAGAACCTTAGTTAAAAGTAAGAGAATGCCTAAGGCCTCAAGAGCAAGGCGGCAGCAGCAGCTACAGAGGCCCGGTCATCAGATGAGGCAGCAAGAGTATCAGGTACAGCTGATGTACTTCAGATTAAACAATAGTGCTCATAGAGCAATAATGGTAGGAGTTTTGTGAGTAACCAATCATTTTGTGATTGGATTAAAGCTTATTCCACAAATGGTAATTTAAGTGATGTTAATTTAGTGATATACTTGTGCCTAGCTAGGTGATAAGCCCTACAGAGAATTTAATGCTAATTACAATTAATTCTAATAGTGGATATAATCTAATTGAACCCAAGTTCTCATCATTATATCCACAGTGTCAGCAACCCTTCAGTACCCACCAGAAAATATGAATTGTGTTGTAGATGGAGAATAAACACAGAAGCAAATTAGTTAAAATATACAGAATATTAGCCTGTGGAGAGCCCCAATCTAAAAGTGACAACTGTGTCACACATTGTAAACGAAGTCTCTTACATCTAAAGCCAAGTCAGGGATTCCTAAAGGAAAAGAGGGAGAAAGAATGTCAGAGCCAGATATAGTGAATGTCTGCAGTATGACAGTAGAAATGTTGAAACATTTCTAGAACAGTGAAACACTGCTAGAAATGTCAGTACCGTTTCATGCTTGAACATACTGAAACTGTTACTACCTAGACAACACTTACACAGGTAATACCCGGCATACAATAATAATGGAATGATGAGTAGTGTTATCCCTTACCCCCCTTCCCTCACTCCTACATCCCTAGTGATCACGACTGCTTTTGTTCCTGGTTATCCATCATTATTAGAGTTAGGCAGTGTGGGAACACCAGACCTTGAGCAGAGACCCACTTCCCCTTTGGCCTGGGAGTAGGCAGCTGTAAGACAATGCTTACTAAAAACATGTTTACTAAAAACAATACAATGCCCGGGGCAATAAGTTCCTGGAAAAGGCCTGCCCATGGAAACCGCCCTGACCTTGACCTTGTCCAAAGACTAACCGCATCTTCAGACCCACCCACATCCACCTCTGGTGTCAGAGCAGAACCAGCCAGGGTAGAGGAGAGAGCAGAAGCTTCTCTGGAGGGAGCCTTTCTTAGGAAGTTTTTCTTGAACCTTTTTGGGGCCTGCTTAAAGTTTTCTTTACATCGTTGAACGAGTCTCTGTGTTGTCAATCCCCGACACCCTCCGCACATTCTCGGACACAGGCTGCGCGGCAGACTCGACAATTGGAGGTCCTACTGAGATCGTGAAAGCGAGGTAAGTGGACGGGGTAGTCCCTTTTGCCAGCCAGGGACAGATGGAGGAAAATAGGAAAAGAAACAATGGGAAATAGTCCCTGGAAGTTTAAATTACAGTATCACGTAAAAAAAGTTACTTGAAGAACAGGGGACTACAACCATGGCAGGCTTTTTAAAATGGATTGAAAGAGGGAGCCCATGGTTCATTACTGGGGAAGGCTTAAATGTCCCAGATTGGGAGGATGTTTGCTGTGATATTCAGAGAGCCGGGAGTTGACGGCATACGCCTTTAATCCCAACACTCTGGAGGCAGAGGTAGGTAGGATGGAGGCCATCCTGGTCTATAGAGCCAGTTCCAGGACAGCCTCCAAAATGATAGAGAGAAACCCAGTCAAAAAAAAAAAAAAAAAAAAACAGGTAAAATAAGAAATAAAATAAAAAATCTCCAGTCTTTTGCCTGATCCACTGACGTCAGGAAAGTAAAGGGGAACTGAGAGATCTAAAAGGCTGGCCAATAAGGCTATGCGGATGTGTTAAAAAGGGGTACCAAGCTAGGGGTACCGGATTAAATCTCCAGGCCTTCGCCTGACAAAGGTAGGAAAGTAAGGGGACCCTGAGAGATCGCCCTCAGTTGGAGGGGGGGATTGGATTAAATCTCTAGGCCTTAGCCTGACACTAAGGTCAGGGAAAAAAGGGGAACCCAGAGATTGCCCTCAATTGGAGGGTGGATTGTGTAAATCTTAAGGCTTTTTGCATGAGGGAATATTCTGGGTCCAACAATGGATTTAAAATGAGTGAATAGCCGGGGTTGGCGGCACACGCCTTTAATCCCAGTACTCGGGAGACACAGGCAGGCAGATCTCTTGAGTTCAAGGCCAGCCTGGTCTACAGAGCAAGTTCCAAGACAGCCTCCAAATAATACAGAGAAACCCTGTCTCGAAAAAAAAAATTGATAACAAGCTGGGCGGTGGTGGCACACGCCTTTAATCCCAGCACTTGGGAGGCAGAGGCAGGCGGATCCCTGAGTTGGAGGCCAGGCTGGACTGACAGCCTCAAACAATACAGAGAAACCCTGACTCAAAAAATTTGGTAACAGTAAAGAGGTACTGGTATTAAGTAAAGAAAAAGAAAAAGGTATATGGAATGGAAAATTTTGTTTGCATTTAAGTTCTATTTTGTGAGTCATCTCTAAAAACGTTTGGCCAAAAGCCTGGTCTCTCCACCTTGCATCTACAGAGTTACAAGGAGTAGGTACGGATGTACCCCATGACTGTAGCTCAAATGCAGGAATGATAAAGAACGTACAGGACTTTTTAACCCTTTTAGTTCAAGGATTGGCTGGAGTTGTTCTTTTACATAGATTTCAATTAAGGAAGCTTCATTGCAACAGACTAATCATGACCTAGGGAAAAGGATGACTGAAAGATGCATGTATGTTCTGAATGTATGGTGTGGCCACACCGGTATGTATGAAATGTGATTGTGAATGCGTGAGTGTGAACTGCTTATATGATTAAAAGGATACTCAAATCCCTTCAAAAAGAGTTAAGAAGCTACCTAGATTGCTTTAAATATAGCCAAAAGGAACATCCAGCCAGTCTGTTAATGTTTTAACAGAAAAATTTAAGATGCAAATGAGGCCTTGTCAGCTAGTGAGAGCTCTACAGGTTAGATTGGGAAAGACTGCTCACAGACTTCAAATAATTTTCAAAAGTTATTTGGACATAGTATAGTTTACAATCTTTGAGTGATTTTCCGAAGTTTTTGGGATATATTCAAAGGATATGTCCTTTTTAATGGGCATCTACAAATAATCTAAGTAGTAAGCCCAATTTACCTAGATAGTTAACCAAGGAGGGTAGACAAATCCTTCTACTGTTATGGTCCAGCTTCAACAGTTCAAAAAAGAAAAATTTTTTTTAGAAAATAAAAAAGGGGGAATAATGCCCCCAGTCCCCACATGACTCATCAAATAATACACTCCTCATTTAAAAATTTTATAATGTGAATGCCAGTGAGCTTCAGACAGATTCTGGCATGATGGAACTTGAGCAACCATTGCTCAGGTCAAATGGAGACATCCATGCACTAGACAGTGGAGAAGACCCTAATTTGGGGTCGAGGGCATGTTTGTGTTTTCTTGCAGGAAAAGAATAAAGCTTCGGCAGCTGTCAGACCATTTAGTGAGATGCATGGAGCAGAGAAAAACTGGACCTGAGACCATGGGAGCCTACCTAAGCCAGTTTGAGTGAGATCTCCTAAATCAGTGTTCCTGACCCTTGATGTCATCGAATCTAGAGCCCAAGAAAGAAAGAAAACAGTCGGTTCGAGATTTCCAGTTTCTCAACAGACCTGCTGCATCAACCTTCCGGACCCATGAGTTTTCATCGTGAAGCCAACAGAGAACTGGAAAGACTAACTGTCTGCCCTTGACACACCTTGAAACGACAGAATTCATTTGGCCAGTTTTTCCCTTTAGGGGAAAAAAGGACCCATTTAAAGCATTTGGACATTGGTATGGACTATGAGTGGCAAAAGCCTCTTTTCAGTATTTGAACAGGACATGGTCACTCGAAATATCAGACTTGATGGTTCCTGTTTCTGGAATCGTGCCTATGCCAGTGTATTTTTCTGGAGAAATGCAACTTGTCCTAATGCAACAAAAAGGAGACTTTGACTCAAGTCGCGTAATCAGCTGACGTTAAATCAACAAACTGCATCACCACAGGAACAAATTGGTGCTCTGTGGATAGTGCAACAAGCCTATTGTTCATGTTTTTCGTAATGCTACATGTGTAACATCAATGATTGTACCTAATGTATCTGTGCAAGTGCACTTTCTAAATGCTTTCCTGAGTAGATCTTGGAAAGATTGTAACTTTATCAAATTGTAAAAGTAAATCACATGTGGGTTACCCTTGTAACAGAATGTAAATCACGTGCAGGTTACCCTTGTAACAGATGAAGGCTGGTAGAATGTTATGGCCCAGACCTGGTGATGGGTACGGTGATGGAGAGGCGCTATGTCAATGGGGGTCCTGGAAATGGTGGCAGTGGCAGTAGGCATTCTGGCTTTATGCCGAGCTCAAACGAGCCTTGTTCCAGAGTCAAGAGATCCGTAACCAAGTATTGCTTAGCTTAGCCCATGGCAATCCCGATAGCCATGAAGGTTGGTTACAGATGATTTAAGGTTGGGGTGTCTCAGACGACGGGCAACCTGTGGGGAATACCCCTCCCACCTAAGACAGGGGTTCAAGGTCCCCCGAAGACGGGAAAGGGAGGGTGACCCTACTTGACCTAAGCCAGGAGTGCCTCATTTGAAAATAAAAAGGGGTGAATTGTGGGAACACCAGACCTTGAGCAGAGACTCACTTCCCCTTCAGCCTGGGAGTAGGCAGCTGTAAGACAATGTTTACTAAAAACATGTTTACTAAAAACAATACAATGCCCGGGGCAATAAGTTCCTGGAAAAGGCCTGCCCACAGAAACCGCCCTGACCTCGACCTTGTCTAAAGACTAACCGCACCTTCAGACCCACCCACATCCACCTCTGGTGTCAGAGCAGAACCAGCCAGGGTAGAGGAGAGAGCAGAAGCTTCTCTGGAGGGAGCCTTTCTTAGGAAGTTTTTCTTGAACCTTTTTGGGGCCTGCTTAAAGTTTTCTTTACATTGTTGAACGAGTCTCTGTGTTGTCAATCCCCGACACCCTCCGCACGTTCTCAGACACAGGCTGCGCGGCAGACTCGACAAGGAAGTGTAACAGTCAACTAAACTTGATGGATAGAAAGACAACACATCACATACCTTCTCTCATTGAGTTTTGTTAAAAATAGTTTATTAACATGTAAATGTCATGTGCACATTAGAGAAAACAGTCCTGAATAAGCCTGGAGATTACATGGCAAAGAGAGTCTGCTTCCAGCTCTAATTTCCATCATAGATCATAACAAAGAAAGCCTGCTGTGAAGGAAGTTTCTGTTTCTTAAAAATGTCTAACATGTGGTCAGCAAAGCACCTTGAAAAAGATCGGTTTGCTGTGTGTATGGGAGTCTATGCTTTTGTCCTGCTTGAGTCTCTGCAGACCTAGTTAGTAATTTCCTCAGAACACAGAGGGAGATTTCCTTATGAATGGAAGTAGCCTTAATGAATATGCATTTGTGTTGTATGGTATTTTTGCTCTTTGGGGAGCCTACCACCCAGCACTCGAATCAATGACACATAGAGTCTTATTATATGTCAATGCCCGGCCTTATTTTGACTAGCTTCCTGCCAGCTTTTAATTTACATTATCCAGTGTACCTTTCTTTCTTTCTTTCTTTCTTTCTTTCTTTCTTTCTTTCTTTCTTTCTTTCTTTCTTTTTTTGACAGAAAAGGGGAAACGTTGTAGAATATTGTTGTAAAGTGTGTTGCTTTTATTTATGTTGCAGTTGTTTAACTCTGTGAAGCTGTGTTACTTTGTGTGCCTAAAACACCTGTGGTCTAATAAAGAACTTAACAGACAATAGAGAGGCAGGAGAAAGGATAAATAGAAGGAGAAATCTGGGAGAAAAAAAAGGAGCCAGAGAGGGACTAGGCAGGGGGCATTCACCCTGCTACACACCTAGCCACAGAATAAGAGTGAAAGTAAGAGTATAGAAGTAAGAAAAGTAGCCGGGCGGTGGTGACGCACGCCTGTAATCCCAGCACTCGGGAGGCAGAGGCAGGCAGATCTCTGTGAGTTTGAGACCAGCCTGGTCTACCGAGCGAGTTCCAGGACATGGTCCAAAAAACAATACAGAGAAACCCTGTCTCGAAAAACCAAAAAAAAAAAGTAAGAAAAGAATAAGCCCAGAAAACAAATGTAGATGGCAATAATTTAAGGAAAGCTAGCAACAGACCAGCCAAGATAGGCCTAGCATTTATAATTAAGAAAATAATATGACTCTATGTGTTTATTTGGGAGATATAACAACCAAGAGTATTTTGGCATACCAGCATGGGCCTCAAATTTATATAGGGCAGAGAAAGCTTGAAAAAAAGGATAGGGCTCCTTTAAGAGTTTCTGCCTGCTGGGGAGCCCTCAAGCAACCAGTATGTGAAGTAGGAACAAAAATCTAAGTAAAAAACGCCTGCCAAAGCAGTATCGTTCTAGAGCTCTAGGGAGGCTGAGTACAGTTCTTGGTCACAAACTTCCAACCTGACTATGTGCTTTAGGTTTTGCTTTCACAGCTCAAGAAGTGGATAAACCCAGCCACCGGAGCTTCGGACACACGGCCCAGCGGTTTAGAGTTTGTTCTTGCAGTCAAAAGGGCTAAAAGATACACAATAAAAGGTACAGATGGAAAAACCTCTAAATAGGTTCCAGTGTGTTTAACAATGGTGTAAGCCTAAGAAAGAAAAGAAAATGGGTATAGACAGTCACAGGAAAAAGTTTTTTAAAAAAGTCTCTCTTTAAGAGAAGTAAAATAATATAAAAGAAAAAAGCCCCATAAGAAGGGAAATACACGGGGAGTTTGCATCCTGTGTGTTACTGTGTTGATTTTGAATTTTTTGATTATTGAGCAAACAATAGCTGTGAATTTGACTGCAAAACTGAACCAACCTTGATAATTTAGGGTTATCTTAATTTAAAAAGGAAGTAAAAAAATGTATTTTTCAAATGGAAATCAAAAATGCTTTGGAGCTGTGTTCCCACGGGCAATGAGAGGCTGTGGATTCCTTCAGGGTTCATATGGATCAGGTTTGATCAGGCAAGACGTCCTGAGTCTTGACAGGTGCTATCTGAGAACAAAGATAATACTGGGTCTCCCCAGAACTTGGCCTTTGTCTCAAATTTTCTCTGTGGGACCCTAAAGATAATTCATCCACAGACATCAGGAAACATTGTTGAGAAAACAAGGTCCACATTCCCAAGATTTCAAGGTTGTGAATGGTCTTTGGTTATTTGGTGGGTCATGGATGTTTGTTATCATTTAGGGGAATATCGTATATTGATACAAATACAAAGTTATATTTGTTACACTGTATATATGTTTCTACTCTTGTTTAAAGGACTTTTGTATATTGATACATATTTAAGGTAACTTTTTAACAACACACTATATAGTTCCTACTTTTAAGGTGTTGTACCTATGTAGGTCATTTAAATATATATGGTAAAATTCTAGTTTTTGAAAGCTATTATTATAAACTATTTAGGCTAATCAGGAAACATAGGTTAGTAGTTAGTCATAGAACAGTCAGATTTGTAGATATGTTAGGCATGTTTTCAAGATCATATAGAGATATATTTTAAATAGATGGTCTTCAAACACTTCAAGTACCCACAGAATATGACATTTAAAATATTTTGTTAACACAGGGTTTTTCATGGCAGTGACACACATCTGCTGCTGACAGCACCACTCTACTCAGAGAGGATGGGCACGGAAGAAACTCCTTCTGGAGTTCACTTTCTTTGTGGAAAGGCTAGCAACTGGGCAAAGAAACTGCTGCTGCCAATGTGCTGTAAAGAATGGACATGCAGGACTCACAGCAAAAACCATTGAACTTTGCTGAAACAAAGCAGGAGAGTCCTTCAAAATTCCTGCTTCACTGAAGGGTCTGACAGACATTTTGCCAGACACAAGGGAAAGTAACTAATGAACTTTGCCAAAACAAGACAGTACAGTCCAAAATTCCTGCTTCATAAAAGGTCTGCCAGCTACTTTAGGCATGTAGGGTTGAAGGTGGATGTCCCAGAATTGCAGAGGTACTCTTAGGTGACTGTCCAGGTAGCCTAATGTCTCCGTTGTTAGATAATATTACATCCTTCTGGGCCTTTGATGGAGGTGAAGACTAGATAGTTATAGTTGTTGTTTTTTTCTTAGTTATGATAGAAAGAAATTTTGTATAAAACTTTGGATTCACTAAGATAGGATAGATAATGGATTATTTTCCTCTAAATTTCCTAAATATAAATGAGCTGAATAGTGTAATCTTAAATGATAACTTTTTGTTATATGTAGTTATACTGTGCTAGAGCCAAAACCTTTTTTGACAAAAAAGGGGAAAAGGGTTACTTTTGTTTATGTTGCATTTGTTTAACTCTGTGAAATTGTTACTGTGCCTGTCTAAACATCTGATTGTCTAATAAAGAACTGAACAGCCAATGATGATGCAGGAAAAAGGATAGGTGGGGCTGATGGGCAGAGAGAATAGGAGAAATCTGGGATTTAAAAAAAAAAAAAGCCAGAAAAGGAGAAGGACATCAGGGATCAGCCACTCAGCTACCCATCCAGCTATAGAGTAAAAGTGAAAGTAAGATTATAGAAATAAGAAAAGGGACAGCCCACAGACAAAAGGTAGATGGGGATAATTTAAGTTAAGGAAAGCTGGCAAGAAACAAGACAAGTTAATGCCAAGCATTTATAATTAAGTAAATAATAACACACCTTCCATTTATTTAGGAACTGGGTGGCACCCTCCACAAAGAGTGAAACAATCAACAATTGGATGACCTCAACTTATATACATTTGACATCCATCATTTTTCATAAATTTTTTGAATATACTTTTTTTAGAGCTACATAGCATCCCTTCTGTGTGTGTGAATGTATAATAAACATATACATTTATATTTACCAACTTATTTTCTATTATTTGTTCATGGACATCTAAACAGGGGGTACATATATCTGTATAGTAAGGTGTGAGGATCCCATATAAGCCCAGGACTGAAATAGTGGGGACAGTGGGATGAGGTTATTATGGATATGAGGCCTTGACTTGTGAGGTTCCAGGGTTCTCTGCAGCAGTGCTCTCAAAGGCTACTTTAGGTCTGTGGCTCTAACAACAACCTGTAGATAGTAGGCTGTACTCCATCTGAAATTTAGTACCTGCCTCCAGCAGGCTGACAGGGTCCAAGGAGTAAGGAAGGATTTGACTCCATGTGCCTAGTGAGTTGCTAGCCCAACCTGTACTGAATTCTGAGACCACTGGAAGGAAATGCTGGTTGCAGGCTGCTCTCCTATGATGGTGAGGGTGGGAACTGTTTTTTGTCTTTGGACCCTGTACAATTTTGCTTCCACAGTTAACCTAAGACCTCTTGCATTTATCACCAAACTACATAGTGCAAGCTGGGAAAAAATGACTGAGTACATTATCTGCATTTATGTAGATACCTTTATACCAGGAGATAAACAATGGTAGTCTCCATTGGTCTTAGGCAGCCTGTTAGCTGTTCCTAATCACACAGTGTCTTCTTTAGCTATTTGTTGATGTCCTTTTTCCTGTCTCAGAGTCAACAACACTCAGGAGAACAGGTAAGAGGACCCTTAGAGATGCACATGCATGTGGCTGATGTGGGGACACCAAACCTAAGCTTCAAAAGCAAATGTCCATATATGTGCAATATTAGCAATACCTGAAATGCAATTGTTTCTATATATTTAAGAAGTAGAAACATAAAAAAAAGTAGCCAGGCTTGTTGAGGCTGAAACCTAGGCAGACCACAGTCAGAAGGCAAAGAAATTTCAAGGTCAGAGGGAATGTCCTATTGCAGTTAGAAGCAGGCTTGAAGACCTATTACAAAGAACTGGCCCTAGGACCAGATAACTGGTCCTAGTATAGAAAAGACCCAGCAAACAAAAAGTGGGCCCACATCTCATAGCCACTGTGAGTTGGGGCGTGGCCTCCCTGGCTGGTTAGGCTACTGGACGATTAGGGTTTCAGGATAAAGAAGTGTGGAGTGGATGCTCCCTCCCCTACTGCCAACATGGCAGCTCCAGCTCATGACCCCTCTGCAGCCACCACAGGCAGTCCTTTCTGGCCTCTCTCACCTCAGGATGTGAGTACAACAAAGCAGTCCAGTTTCCAGTCTGTGCATCTTACACTGGGTTCCTTGAAGGTAACTGGACACTTAATAAAGGTTCATCGAAGTCTTGCGATCTCATGAGTAGGATGTCTGAGATAAAGGATAACTGGGGATTGTTCAGTGATAGCTGTAGTCAGGATAACATGATGGATAGTTTCAAGAGAACGCAAATATGCTAAAACAGAAACATCACTAAGTATTGTGCTGGGTAAATATTTTACCAGTTTATCAGATTGGGGCCATTTCAGGCTGAGACATTAGTGTAAGAGAGGTGTTGTAGAGTAATCTTTTTGTACACTGAAGATGTGTCTTTGCCAAGGCATCTCTTGATTGGTTTAATAAAAAGCTAAATAAATGGCCAATAGTGTGGAGTCCTGGACATAGAGAACTCTGGGAAGAAGAAAGGCAAGGAGACTCCAAGGGAGCAAGACATGCAGGAGGAGAAGTCTCACAGCAACAGGTAGATGAATAGAAATGGTTAATTTAAGTGCCTCAATTTATTCATGCACCATCTTAATCAACCAAAGGTGGGGACAATGGCAGAAGACTTCTATGATCATGTATAAAGGGCAAATAGCAGTTACTTCCCTTAATCCTAAAGACACTCTGTAGCTGCACAGACTACTTGGCCTTCAGGCACTTCATAGCTGCCATGTATCACCTAGCCATCAGGGTGAAAATATCCTGCCTGGGCCCAAGTCTTTATTTAGATAGCAGCCATTCACCACTGAGGACAGAGCATCATGTAGCCATTAAGCTAATGTCTTAGAGACAATAGGAGTGATTTGATCTCTCTGAACTTGTGGCAAGATGGAATGAATGGACTTCCATATATGGGTCCAGACACATTAAGTATAGCCTTCTTTTTTGGATTAGACAAAAAGGGGGAATCGTGGTAATGTATTATTTCTGATTTAATAAAGCCACCAGAGATCAAAATGCAAAGCTAGCCACAGCAATAGAGTCAGGCAGTGGTAATTACATACTTGTAATTCCAGCAGTCATACTAGCTAGCTATAGAAGACAGGTGGTGGTGGTACACACCTTAAACCCCAGGACTCAGGGACAGAGGCAGGTGGGTCTCTGTGAGTCCAAGACCACCCTGGGCTACATGATAGTGAATCAACCAAAAAGAGCTCACACCATTAATCCCACACTAGGAAGGTATAAAAGGAAGGATCAAGGGGTCTCATGAGAGATTCAGTTTCCAGACAGGAAAGGCATTGCACTCTGAGGATTCATGGAGACAGGTTCACCCATTTTGGTCTGAAGTAGAGGTAAAAACTAGTGGCTGGCTGCTTTGTTTCTCTGATCTTCAGCGTGAAGCCCAATATCTGTCTCTGGTTTTGTTTGTTTATTTGTGTTAAATTTCCTGCTGTGGAATAATACTTTTGTACATTGTAAAGAATTATCACTTGAAAACCCTGTCTCGTAAAAACAAACAAACAAAAAAAAAAGAATTATCACTTTAATTTGTTTTTTTTTAAGACTTTATTTATTTATCACATGCAGTGTTCTGTCTGTAGGCCAGAAGAGGGCACCAGATCTCATTACAGATGGTTTTGAGCCACCATGTGGTTGCTGGGAATTGAACTCAGGACCCCTGGAAGAGCAGTCAGTGCTCTTAACCTCTGAGCTATCTCTCCAGCACCACTTGAATTTGTTTAATGAAGTGATGATTGGCCAATAACCAGGGAAAAAGTACAGGCAGGGTGATCAAACTGAGGATGCTGGGAGAAAGAAGGGCTGATAGAGGAGAGTCTTGGTGAGATTTAAGCCAGTTGCTTAGGATGTGTAGAAAATGAGGTGACAAGCCATGAACCAGGTGACAAATCACAGACAAGAAATATGGGTTATTTTAAATATAAGTTAGGTAGTCACAAGCCTGAGCTAACAGTCAAGCATTTGTTCTTGCCCAGAGCCCTTCAGATTTTTAGTATTGTTGATGTTATTGCTTTGAATTGTGTGTTCCTATTCTTTTTTTTTATTTAAAATTTTTTTCATGTTATATACCAACCCCAGTTCTCCCTCCTCTTCTCCCGTCCTCCCTCCCCCCATCTCATCCACAATTCACTCCTCAGAAGGGGTAAGGCTTCCCCTGGGATGTCAACAAAGTCTGGCATAACAAGTCAAGGCTGGACCAAGCACCTCTCCCCTCTGTCAAGGCTGGGCAAAGTAGCCCAGCATAGGGAATGGTCTCCAAAAAGCCAGTTCATGCTCCATGGGATAGGTCCTGATCCCACTGCTAGGGACCCTTCAAACAGATCAGCCACATTCACAGGGCCTAGTTTGGTCCCATCAGATTCCCAGCTGACAGTCCAGAGTCCCTGAGTTCCAAGTAGCTCAGGTTAGCTGTCTCTGAGGATTCCCCAAAAATGACCTTAAACCCCCTTGCTCATATGATCCCTCCTTCCTGTCTTTACTGAAGCTGAGGAGCTCAGCCCAGTGCTTGGGTGTTTCCATCAGTTACTAGATGTAGGTTCTATGATGACAGTTGGGGTAGTCACTAATCTGATTAAAGGGGAAGACTGCATCAGGCACATTCTCCACTTGCTAGAAGTCTTATCTGGGACCATCCTTGTGGATTTCTGAGAATTTCCCTAGCACCAGGTTTCTCTCTAGCCCCATAATGGCTCCTTCTATTAAGATATCTCTTTCACTGCTCTCCTTCTCCATCCCTCACCCAAGAAAGAATATTAAGAGCTGCAAAGGAAAAGGCCAAGTAACATATAAAGGCAGACCTATCAGAATTAAACCTGTGTTCTCAATGTAAACTCTGAAAGCCAGAATATCCTGCACACACTTTCTGCAGATACTAAGAAACCATGGGTTCTGGAGAGATGGCTCAGAGGTAAAGAGCACTGACTGCTCTTTCAGGGATCCTGAGTTCAATTCCCAGCAACTACATAGTGACTCACAACCGTCTACAATTCAATCTGGTGCCCTCTTCTGGCATGTAGGCAGAACACTGTATATGTGATAAATAAATCTTAAAAAAAAAAAAAGAAACCATGGATACCAGCCCAGACTAATATATCCAGCAAAGCTTTCAATCACCATAGATAGAGAAAACAAGATATTCCACAACAAAACCAGATTTAAACAACACCTATGCACAAATTCAGCCCTACAGAAAGTACAAGAAGGGATACTCCACCCCAAGGAAATTAGCTGTACCCTGAAAACACAGGCAATGGATAAGCTTACACCAGCATATCCCAAAGAAGGGAAACACAGACACACTACCATAATTAAAAACAAAACCAAAAATAACAGGAATTAACAATCATTGATCATTAAAATCTTTTAATATCAATGGGCACAATTTACTGATAAAAAGACTCAGGCTAACCAAATGGGTACCAAAACAGGAAACATCCTGCTGCTGCATGCAAGATACACACCTCAGCTTCCAAGACAGACATTACTTGAGAGTAAACGATTGGGAAAAGGTTTTCCAATAAAATGGATCTAAGAAAAAACTGGTGTAGCTATCCTAACATCTGACAAAATAGACTTCAAACTAAAGTTAATGAAAAGAACTTGAGAAGGATATTTCATATTCCTTACAGGGGAAAAAGAATCCATCAGGATGAAGTCTGAATTCTGAAAGTCTATGACTCAAAATACAATGGCACACACATTTGTAAAAGAAACATTACTAAAGTGTGTTCCTCTTCTAAACCCTCAACCATAATCTTGTCTGCAATTCTAGTAGTAAACTCATTGATTCAAGATAGGGACTTTAGTGGAATCTTTGCTATGTCTTTAATTAGAGACAAATCTGAGGCGAGTAGACATTTTTTCTCATCTCCATTGGAAAACCACAGAACAGAGTGTCTTTTTGATTGCTGCAAGAAAACACATTAATCATTTGTTGCTCATGGTTTCATTGTGTAAAAGTCCTCTGATGGAGAGTATAGTTTCAGATAGGCAGCCATGATCCTTAAACAGGAGCAGGGAGCTTACATCTTGATCCCCAATAGGAGACAGGTAATGAGTAGGATTCTGTAACCTCAAAGCCCGCCCCCAATGACACGTGCTTTTGATAAGTCCAAACCCTCTAATCCTTCAAAAACAGTTCCTAACAACCAGACCTAAGCATTCCACCGTATGAATCTATAGGTATCAATCTCATTCTAAACCATGGTGACTTTAAAGTTATAGACAATGTGAAATCAGCTGCAATTCTCAGAGATTAACTCCAGTTTGGGGAATCCAGGCACTTTGTACCAAGCCCACATTGATTTGCTCTGAGCCAAGAGCACATCGAAGGAAGTCTCTGGCTTGTGGAAGTGCAATTTCATTTGAAAGGTGAAGACCCTTATAGCAGCTTCATGCTCAAAACTTCACTTCTAAGAAAGTTTCTCCAGGGTCAGCAACGTGTAGGTCAACATGGAGCTTTGCAGCACTATTAGAGAGAACCGCTTCACCATATAAGTGGTCAGATGTTCAGTGTCCCTCCTAACAGTCCCTGTGTGGTCACATGTCATGGAGCATGCAGGTGATGGCTAAGTGGAATTGGAACCTCACCATATGGAACCTCATGGCAGAAATATGGAAAACTCTACACTGGGGCTATCTGTGCTTCAGTCCTGAGTCTGTGATCCAGGGCATGTCCCTTCACTTGGGAGGTGAGCATGAGTTCCCAGCCCTGCTGGTGGTGAATGTGGACCTGAGTTTGTGAAGAACCATGAAAACACTGGTAAAATTCTAGTAGAGCTCTCACAAAAACTAAATTGCTTACATAGAGTAACAGTTGAGAGTTTTCAAGGACAGAAGGGCAGGTGGAAAAATCTTGAGATGGGTTATGGGAGATCTTTGTAAGATTGGACATTTAAATTTGTTCAGTGACTGTACCATCTCTGTGTCCCTCACCAATTCTCTACACTGTAGGATTCTGATATTAACACAAAGCTGTTTTACAAGCTGTAGAGTCAGATCCATGTATAGCTCGCTCACACAGTGTTAGTACAGAGGAATGAAGAGTAGCTACTTACTGATTTGCAGGACTACCTATTAAGAAAAAGCATACATTATACTCAACTGCTTTAAATGCATATTTGTTTCATTTTGTTTTGTTTCGACTTTTCTTTTTTTACTTAGATACAAGGTGACTTTAAAATTTCCAATCCAGCCTTTTACCCCGGGTCCACTTATATAACATGGCTGGTTTCAAAATCATCTTTAAAAGACACTTCTCGTTCCCACATTAATGTGTTGCTTTGTTAGTTTAAAACCGAGTCTTTTAAATGTCCTAGTTAAGATTAAAAATCACAATATACGGACCAGAAAACTTACAAGGCTATTATATCTGTCAAAGGCTCGACTCATTCATAATGTCGTGTAGTGGATCAGGAGGGGAACACCAGTCTCTCTGCACAAGGCTGTAAAGCTGACTCCAGACGACAATTCCAGGAAAAGCTGAAATCTGTGTACTTGGTTCTGGGAATTCTTTCGCACAGACTTCTGGGAAATGTAGTCTAAGGCACTGTGACGTGACCCCAAAGTTAGGCATGAGTCCTCCCCTGCTGTGTCTCCTGCTGCGTCTCTGACTTGGAGATTGGTCCAGGGTGCAGGTCAGCCTGAGGCTCCGTGCGGGGTGCGGTCCGTCTTGGAGGGGGTGGACCTGGGCTGGGTGCGAGGGCGGAGAAGCTGCCTTGGAGATGCTGTGCTGAACTGGCTGGGACGCGGGAGGTTGCAGGTCAGGGCTGGGAGAGGGCGATGGGACTGTGCCCTGAGAGATGGTTTCCTTAGGACGGGCAGCCCGAGTCCGCCTTGGGCTTCTGGGACAGCAGAGCTGCCGGGGAGCGCGGAGTAGACGATAGCGCAAGGTCCAGGACTGCAAGCTAACGATGGTCAGCTGAGGTGAGCAGGACTGCAAGCTAACGATGGTCAGCTGAGGTGACCAGGACTGCAAGCTAACGATGGTCAGCTGACTACCTGCTCCTGAGGTGGAGCTGGGAGCTCCCTGAGCAGTTTTGGTGGTGAAGCGGCTTCACGAGCTGAGCCCTTCTCACATGGATGCTGTCAGATTCTCAGTGTCTTAGAGCAAACGCGGTGTCTGACCCCTCCTGTACTCCAGCCTGCCTGGTGTAAGGGTCTTGAGTCTGGATTGTGTTCCTTTTCTCTGCCAGTATAAGAATTAAGAGAGGAAAAAAATCTGAGGCACATCAAAGGTCACTGGTGGAAAATTCTGGAAGACAGCAGACAGATAGGCTTTTTATTCAAGCATTCATTTTTCAAAATAATTTTCAAATATATATGTATATATATGATTATGAATATTATACCCCATTAAACAAACACAATTTAAATTTGTTTTGAGGTATGTGCTTTAGGCTGTACTTCAACATCATATACAAAGGAGTATAGAATGAGAGATATAATTGGATTCTCCTTCCCACTCATCTCTGTGAGTAAATTTCATTTATATTTAGCATGACTAGAAACACAATTCTGGACACATTAGAGACATTTAATCATCTAGAAGTCAGTGATTGTTAATGTTTAGGAGTTAATTACCCCCTGTTAATAGTTTACAGTACATTAGTAAACTTGAGATTGAGATGACTTTGGGATCTGTATATGCAGTAAAATAAGACCTGCCCCTACAGTGTTTCATACTTGAGGATCACATATCCACTAATCAAACACATCCTTTCTGCCGAGTGAGTGCAACTGGCTTGGGTCCTTATTTCAGTGTGATGGCAATCTCTATGACATGACAGTTGGGAACATCTGAGAAATGCTGTTCTGAATGTAAAGGAAATAAGACATTCTTTATTCTGGATTCAAATATGACTGAAAATGTGTTCTGTTAGCATTTCCTTGGGAGATAAACACACATGCCCACTCACCCCAGACTGTACCAATGCAAACCATTTCACCAAAGTCCAATCTGGTGAGAAATATGAGTCAATGGAGATCCTTACATACCCAGGGGAGATGTTATTACAGGTGTTTGGGTGACACCACAGGGAAAAATAATGGTAACTGTACCATAGCCCAGATCTCAGATTTAGAGAACCCAACAGACAAAGTTACAAGAGTTTTATGGAACATTTATAGTTACAGAATAAACAGTCATAAATCAAGGCAGGTTTGAAAAACATGAACAAACTGGAGAGGGGGGTTACAGCAAAGAGAAATCTCTACTGTTTTCTGGTGGCATTCTTAGCATTTGTATTGGTGGAAATTAGATGTTCCTGTTGATATTCTAAAATAATTAATATTCTCCACCATGAATTCATTTAAGTTGGATAAGGTCTGAATGATTAGCAAAGATTATGCCATATTCCACACACTCATGGAATTTGTATTCAGAATGAATTATTTGCCTTCCTTTAAGGGCTGAAAATGTGTAAACCTTTTACATTTGTAGGATTTCTCTCCAGTATGAACTGTCTTGTGTCGAGTAAGGCTATAAAGATTAACAAAGGCTTTGCCACATTCCCCACACTTGTGTGGATTGTCTTCAGAGTGAATATTTTGATGTCTTTTAAGGTCTGAAAAATAGGAAAAGGCTTTACCACACTCTCCACACTTGTAGAGTTTCTCTCGTGTATGAACTGCCTTGTGTCTATTAAGGGCTGACTGGTTACGAAAGCCTTTGTGACATTCTTGACACTTGTGTGGGTTTTCTCCACTATGAATTATTTGATGTTTTTTAAGTTCTAAAGTGGAGTAAAACATTTTCCCACATTCTTCACACTTGTAAGATTTCTCCCCTGTATGACGTAATTTGTGCAGAGGAAGGTATGAGAGCATAGAAAAGGTTTTGCCACACTCTTCACATTTGTGTGGTCTTTCCCTATGAGATCTCTTGTGTACAGAAAGTTCTGCATTGGTACAAAAGATCTTGCTACACACTACACATATGTAGGGCTTCTCTTCAGTATGAATTCTTTCATGTCTCTTCAGTTTTGAAGGATAGGAAAACTTTTTGCCACATTTTTTACACTCGTGTCGTTTCTCTCCAATATGAACTATTTTGTGCTGAACCAGGGAAGAATGACTAGAAAAGGCTTTTCCACAGACTTCACACTTGTACACGTTCTCTTGACAATGAAGTCTTTTATGATTCTTTAGGTCAGAAGTAAAGTAAAACATTTGGCCGCATCCTTCACAATGGTAAGGTTTCTCTCCAGTATGATATAACTTGTGCTGACTCAAGGAAAATTTAGAAGCAAAGGCTTTCCCACACTCTTCACACTTGTGTGGTTTCTCTGTAGAATGAACAATCTTGTGCTTAGTAAGGGTAGAAAGCTTAGAAAAGGCTCTGCCACATTCCCCACACTTGTAGGGATTGCCATCAGAGTGAATTCTTTGATGTATTTTAAGGTCTGAAGAATAGGAAAAAAGTTTGCCACACTTGTCACACTGGTAAGATTTCTCTCCACAATGAATTCTTTGATGTTTCTTAAGGAATGAAGGATCATAAAAAGCTTTCCCACACTCTTCACATTTATAGGGTTTCTCTCCAGAATGAATTCTTTGATGTTGCTTCAGCATTGAAGGATAGCAAAATGACTTGCCACATTCTTCACACTTGTAGGGTTTTTCTCCAGTATGGTTTTTCTGGTGAACAGAAAGTGATGAGCGAGTACTAAAGGCTTTATGACATTCTTCACACTTGTAGGGTTTTTCTCCAGTATGAATCCTCTGGTGTACAGAAAGTTTAGAGCGAGAATTGAAGGTCTCACAACAACCTTCACACTTGTAGGGTTTTTCTCCTGTATGAAGTCTCTGGTGTATAGAAAGTGTTGAGCAAGAACTGAAGACCTTCCCACATTCTTCACATGTGTAGGGTTTCTCTCCTGTATGAATTATCTGACATTGAATAAGGAGTGATTTATCATCAAAAACCTTGCTGGAATCATTATATCCATTGGGTGTTGTCCCTGTTGAGCAAAAGTTGAGATATGATCAAAAGCTTAGCAACATGACTCATACAGATAAAATGGAGATGTTTACTCATATATATTTAACCTTAGATGAGAAACTGCAATATATTTCAACACCTATAGGCAATGAGCATAATTCAGAAAATATAGTATGTGGAAACAGCTGTAATAAATGCCCAACCAGATAGGATATAAAAATAATGAATAGTAGCATATTATTCAAAGTTAAATAGCTAAATAAATTGTGACACCTAAAATTGTGGAAACTCTAAAGGGCATTTTGCTAACAAAAATAAGCTCATTAAATAATGCAGGTGTTACATGGCTAGACAGATATGAAATTATAAAGTAGCCATGGAACTTGGAAAAGAGGAACTTCATTGTCACATAGGACTGACAGAAATATACAATTTTTATCTTAAGTATGAAGTTGAAGGTAAAAAAGATATGCTGCAAAATAATAGACTGTCCACAGCTGTTAAATAATATATCTCAAGGATTTAGGGTGGTCCTTTACATATTACTTTGATGACATGAAAATATATAACAGACGGTTATGAAGTTCTGAAAAACCTTCACATAAAGTTGCAAATAACAGAACTCTGACTGAAGGCACCATATCTGTAGGTGAATGGATAATCACATTAACCTAATTTCTAAGAATGAATTCATTTATAATACTAAACAAGGATTGAGCAATGAGTGGAGAGCGACAATGCACAAGGAACAAACATGTACGCCTTGTGATTACTCATGAAATGGAAACACACAGTTGCCATGTTCACAGAACAAGACCTCATAGGTATTTTTATCTTACACTGTCTTTCTGTGTTTTACAATTGGATATTCCACCTATGTAAATATATAGATTACATGCAGGCAAATGGTTGTAGGCCATGTGCCCTGTCAGATATTAATACAGAATATCAAACTGGAAAGTAAAGAAAAAAACTTGAATTCATGGGATTCTGGAAGCTTACTGATGAGCAACCAAACACATTCCCCTAGTTGTGGACAGTTTCACTTTTAACTATATGTCCACAAAGTCCATGCATTTTTAATCATTATTGCCAAGTGTGTGATAGGAGAAAAATGAGAAGATATTTTCATTGTTCATATGGAACTCTGATGACTTTCATTAATATGAATGTATGTGATACGAAAGAAACTTATGTGTAAAGTTACTGTCCTATAATGGTTTCACGCTAGATCTTCAGAAAGTGTGCAATTTTCATATGTGTACAAACAGTGTAAAGTCTGTTACTGAACTGCCCAAAAGGGACTCCATTTTGCCTGAGTTTTATCCAACTGCTCCCCTAGCTCACTAACCAATCCTATTGAGAAAATGTTCTCATGCAGCCTCACTTGCAGCTTTGGAAGATCCATTGTTTGATAACAAATTGTTGAATCAGTGGAACTGACACTTTTGAAGTTTTAGGCTCCTGGCCAGCCTCTGGTATGAGGTAATTTGGGGTGTGGCTTTATAATCCAAATATGGTTCACTTCATGGATAACAGTGATTGTGGGACTCCTTTGCCCTGTGGCTGAGGTCCCCACATGTCTCTGCTCCACGAAACCTGGATACTCTTCCTTTCATTTCTAGAACTTTCTGAGTTGCTTAGATGTCTACTTTTATGGTTTTTCTGTCCAAATATCACTAGGCTACTGGTACTTATGTGCTTAGAGGTTGATCCACAAAGATGCCAATATGCCCCATCTCATAGAATAATTCTATTATCATAAAGCTTGATCTTTATAACAGGGAAAATATATATAGAGCTATTCAGGTTGTCTGCCCACATCTGCAGACACAAACCAGTTTTGGCAGTATAAATCTGATGATGTAACGATAAACGGCACACTTACTGAAAATAAAACTAAGTATTTATTGTAGAAATTACTCACAAGATACCAAACAAGTAACCCAGATGAGCCGAGTAGTTTTCCGCCGATGAACTGGAAGCCGAAAGCCGGAAAAAGAGACCAAGACTTCCATTGTTCAGTCTTTTATACCTTCCCCCATAAGGCCTCCTAGCCACGCCCAAAAGTGGGCCTGGCTAGTGATGTAGTTCACCGCCTACGTATGTATATGTCTTTAAGTCTTTAGTCATGCCTAAAGTGGGTGTGGTTAGCGGTGTGGTAAACTGCTCTTTTATTACCTCATCTGTATGCGCCTCTAGTAAGTCACATGGTTAATGGCGGCATTGTTTTCCTCCTACATAAATCACTGGGCTCAGTCTTACAAACAAGTGCTTTTGAATATAGATAATGTTTTTTAAATCATCATATACTGTTTTAGCTCACTGAATGCCTGGCTCTGGGGATAAGATATGCCACAACCACTTCAACCCACACAAGAATATTTGTCTCCAAATTTCTTCTAAAGCCCCTGTCTTGGGTCAAACTGGCTCCCTGACTCACTGACAGGCAAAAAGAACAGGACAGCCCAACAAAAGACACTATGAGGTAAACTATTTCATATAGATGCTATTATTTAATTTACCTCATGGTAGAAAGATGTGTATCATGAAAACAACTAATGGGATCCTCTTTGTTAAAAAGGATAAAAAAGACATCTTTTAAAATCTCTCAATAATAACTTCAAAATCATAGCTTAATTCTGTTAGATGTTTAATGTTTACTTAATTTAATGATGATCATGATAAGTTTACATACTATCTAAATCATAAAGACTCTATGATGTTTTCTACAAGGTTTACCTGGAAACTTTCGAGGCACAATGGTTTAACAGTAATAGTTATTCAGCACATGAGTTTCACTGTGTAGCCTGCCTCTGCCTCCCGAGTGCTGGGATTAAAGGCATGTGCCACCAACACTCAGCTAAAATCTTGTTAAGATATAAATTTTCTATCTCATCATCAGTGAAATGATTTAAAACAAATGACATAAATTTGAGGTTATATCTTTTAAAGGGGGTTTAAATTATTTTAGACAAGCTATATAAATAAAGAGAGGACCAAAACCAGACAACCTTTCGGTGACAGGAAGTCTGGCTATATTACACAGGCCTTATGGTGGATGAGACTTAAAGATAACATACTTAAGGTCAAAATTTCCTAAGGCACAAAATGTTATTCAGGGTTAACATAAACTACTTCAAGTAGACTATTTAGTCACTTATATCCTTCCTAACTTTGTTAATCTTTAGAGATTTGGGGAAACTGAGTCATAAGAAGAACTGAAGCATGAGTTCTAATTGGTATTAATAACAAAAACCTGGAGTCAGATATTAGGGGGTGAAAGCTGAAAGATGAGAGAAGCAGAGCAGCCAGCCACTAGAGTCCTTACCTCTATGACTCTCAGCTCCAAAAGAGAGTGAATTCCTGTTTCCTCCTACCTTACATTCCTCTCTTCCCCTCCAGCCAAATCACTTCCTGTCTGTCTCTACAGACTTTCAGACCTCTTTACTTGTTGTAGCATAAGCAAAATATCACCACAAAGAATTGTGTGGATAATTAATTGTACACTTTTTTATTTTTACAGGTATCTTCATATAAAGGTTAACCTTTCTATTTTCTCCTCTGATTGTATTCTTTGTGATAAAACAAGGTACTTAATGTAAGAGACCTGTTGGCTTATTCAGATTTTGTAAAGGTCCACCATAAAGAAACAAGGACAGCGAGGTTACCACTTTCTCCATAGACTGCATTTATGTTTAAAGTTTATTTTGTATAAAGCATCTTCAGATCAAAATGTAAATTTTAGGATTCAAACTTTTAACAGAGATAAATTACTTCCATTTATAAAATCCCAATCTTACAAGGAGTCACTAATTCACTGTAAACTGTTACAACAAAGATAATTAAGACATAATAATGATGAATCATCTAATGAGTGATTAAATATCTTTAATGTGACCAAATATCTGTTTGTAGTCATGGTAAATACAAATGTAATTCCTTTGCAGAGAAAATATTCGAGGAAGAGACCAGTCTATACCTTCTATTATATAGGCCAGTGTACATGTTATCCAAGTTAAGCATAAAGCAGGTAACATTAAACAAATTTAAGGTTAATTTTTTGCTTAATATTGAATAATATTCAAAGATGAGGTATGCTTTTAAAAAACTGGTTATTGAAATCGAATGCTTCAGTAAAATGGGTTAAATCTAAACTACACTTGCATGGCAGGACATACCCAGGATCAAATAGCACACTTACCCTCCAATGTGACATAGACCCTACAAGAGTAAATGGCATGCTGGCCTCATCACAATAAAAGGATGCAAGTAAATGACTTTTCTGTATAGAGTGGCATTTCCTTGAGTCTTATATAACAATGTAGTCTCAACAAAAAGATAAGCCTTGGGAGTCACAGTAAATACAAGCACAGCTCACCATTGGGGATTACCAAGCTTAAGAGACTTAAAACATCACCATAAATGTCTGACAGATGTGCTTTGACAACAAAAACAAGGAGAGACCTAAAGAATTATCTCCATAATATTATGTTTCAAGGCGGATGGGAAAGTCTGTCTTTCGGTTGAATATTTGTACCTCACCTCTATTCCTGACCACCTCATTCCTACACACCTGGATGCTTGGCAGCTGTTGCTTGTCTCTTCACATCCGAAGACTCTTGTCTTTGCTCCAGAAATGTCACCAGGTGTGGCTTAGAGGCAGCAAGACCTGTTTACAGTAAAAAGGAAAAGGATTGTTTAAGTGTTCTTCTAGGAATTGACACGTACCTTCTAGTAGAGTGTTTATAAGGAAAGAGATAATACAATGAAAGATTACAGACAAGTAGGTCTTTAAATGTATTCTGACAATATTACTACACTAGAGGAATTTACAGTGTCCAGATTCTGAGTCTCATTTAAAGGGAAAGACATTAAAACTGACTTGGGAAACACTTTAATTAACAGGCATGCTCCGTGCCTCATACCACTGAATTTCTAACAGTCCCACCAAACACACACAAAAAAAGAAAAATCAGTGAAATGTTTCTTAGTTATGGAGCAAGGTCTCTAATTTTTCTTGAAATGAAGAATATGAAACTCACTGTTGAAAGGTTCCCATGAGACACCATACAAAGTGAGGAAGGTATGTGTCGATAGTGAAATAAGAATTCTCTATGGATGAGATCCTCACCCAGGAAATCAAGGTTGCTGTAATTCTCCAACATCACCTCCCTGTACAGATTCCACTGAGCAGGCTCCAGGTATTCCCTCTCTTCTGGAGAGAACTCAATGGCCACATCCCGGAAGGACAGCATTTCCTGAAACAAAGATCAATGAATGATATTGCATTTTTTAAAAATTAACTAAAACCACCAATAAGAATATAAATACCAAAATGTACTGGACTGGATAGTTCTCCTGTCAACTTGATACAAGCTAGGGTTATTTAAGAAGAGAGACATAATAGAGAAAATGTCTCTCTAAGACTGTCCTGTTCCAAGCTTAGGAGAGCATTTTCTTAGTGATTGGTATGAGGCAGCACAGTCCATTATGGGTGATGCCTGTCCTGCGCAGGTAATTCTAAATGATAAAGGAAAGCAGAATAATAGTGTTATATGCTTATATTATACACTACACACACACACACACACACACACACACATATTCTTAGAGGAGAAAGGCATAGAGGGAGAAGGAATTTTCAACACTTCATGTGCACAGTCACAAATATGAAATGAACTAAAATACAGATTCTGATACAGCAGCTCCGGCTGAAGTTTGAATTTCTGAATTTGTACAGTTTTAGTAGTGATGTCAATGACAGTGACAAGAGGCATGAGATGGGGTAGTCAAGAGGAGTGACTTTGATTTCCTGGATGAGGATTGCATCTATAGTTAATTCTTATTTCACCATCAACACGTAGAATAATACCAGAACACATAAAATATATGTGAACATATGACAAAATCAACTAGAGGATTAAGAACACTATTGGAGAACTTAAATAGAACAGATGTCTCTCTGATCTTTAGTCATTTTTCACTTTCTGTCTTTTCTCTGGCAGGGATTGATGGAGGTGCTTTTGGTACTCCTAAAGTATATTTCCCACATATGAACCCTGTGCATCAGTGTGCTGTAGCTGAGAAATACATTTGCTGATGCTGCTATTTTCTTCTCTCAAAATTTTCTAATTTCAGATTTCTGTTTTTTATCTTCCCGAGTAAAGTCTCAGAATGATCTATGAGAATAGTCCTACTTTTCATTTTTATTACTACATTAAAATTATCAGTAATTTAACTATTAATGGGGTATTTTGCAATAATTTCATGAGTAAACTTTGAATCATCTTTCTCAGTTTCTGTTTGCTTATCTACACAAACACTATAGATCAGGCTCCAGAAATGTATCCTACACAATGCTTACACATATCCAGTATTAGGGGAAACAGTACTGTGAACACAGATCACCTTCTTATCACACTGTTGAGGACCATCTATTGTTTGGTAAGTCCCCAAACCTCAGCTTCCTGATATCCCTGTCTGGACAGAAAAACCACTGCATCTCCAAATTTTATGAGTTACAACTCTATGCATGTAGCCTATCAATGTGATCAACTGGTACTTATCTTCCTCTGCCTGAAATAATTTCCAGTTTCACCCATATTATCACAACTGACCAGACTGGTTTGTTTTTCTGAAAAATTGTAAAATTAAGATATAATTACATCATTCTTCCCCTCCCTCATTCCAACTCCTCTCTTGTCCATCTCAAATATATTGTCTTCTTCAGTTTTTATTGTTAAATTTACATATACATAGACACACACATACATGCACATACTACATAAGTGTTCTCTGTGTGTGTTTTGAGGACTGACCTCATAGCACTGGATGAACAGTGAGTAGGTTCATCCTTGGGGAAGACTAATTCTCCCTCTCTGAGTAGTTCTTTGGTAATTATATTTCTTTTGGATACAGTTACAAGAGATTCCCATCTACAGGGTATCATATATTAACGTTGTCATTGTTCAGGGAGTCCTATTGTTGGGTTATGGCTTCTCTCCCTTGGAAGCCCGCAAATCACTTTCTAGTACTATGAAAACTTGTCCTTAGGTCGGAGGCTCCCAGGTCAGACAGAGAGGACTGTGTGTGACGTGCATGATGTTTGCAGCACTAGAATGGAGGAGCCATGTTCTCAAGAATTTGTGCCGTGGAAACATATATTCTGTGAAGAGTGATTACACTGAAAATGTCTTTTAATAAGGGGAAGAAATAAGCAGCAATGAGGAGGCCGATACCTATTCAAATAACAAGCAGACTGAGAAATTTTCGTAAATAGAACACCCATTGATTTCTCATAAATAGAACACCCATTGATTTCTCAAGCACCTTTGTAGCTTGTAGACCCCATCTCCACCTTTACAAGTAAGTGAAGAAAAAACAAAACAAAACAAAAACAAAGATGCCACTCTTGTTTTAAACTAGGAAATTGCAAGAGCAGGGGAGTTGATGACCATGGAGAATGGCAAGAGTCTAGACAGTGAAGATGGCAAACACTGTTCTATGGGAGAACTGGAGCAGGTCCCCAAAGGAGAACTGATCACAAGGATCACTCTAATGCAGCCCGACATAAGGGACCCTGCTCTACCTGGGAAAGTACATGCTGTCCTGGGGCCAGCCTCCTGAGAGATGCTGTGGGCGGTGGGTGGTAAGTCTATGTATAAGTTAGGATTTCTTTTTTTTTTTTTTTTTTTTTTTTTTTTGATTTTTCGAGACAGGGTTTCTCTGTAGCTTTGGAGGCTGTCCTGGAACTCACTTTGTAGACCAAGCTGGCCTTGAACTCACAGAGATCCACCTGCCTCTGCCTCCCGAGTGCTGGGATTAAAGGCGTGCGCCACCAACGCCCGGCTATAAGTTAGGATTTCTATTACTGCGAAGAGACACCATGACCAAAGCAATTCATAAAGGAGAACATTTGATGGGGTGGCTTACAGTTCAGAGGTTCAGTCCATTGCCATCACGGTGGGACATGGTGGCACACAAGTAGCCACGGCAGTGAAGGGGTTGAGACCTTAGAACTTGATATACAGGCAACTGGAAAGGAACTGAGACACTGGGCGTGGCTTGAGCAGATCTGAGAACAAGAAGCTCACCTCCATGGCGACAGGCGAGCTCAAGCAAGGCCACACATACTTCAACAAGGCCACGCCTCCTAATAGTGCCACTCCCTTTGGGAAGCATTTTCTTTAAAACCACTACATTCTACTCCCTGGCCCCCAAACACTTGTAGCCATATCATAATGCAAAAAAATGCATCAAGTGTAACTTTAAAAGTCCCATAAGTTTGTAATAGTCTCAAACTTACTTAAAAGTCTAAAGTTCAAAGTCTATTCTGAGGTTCATGCAATCTCTTTTGTAATCTCCTATAAACCAAAAAGCAGATCAAACACTTCTGACATATACTGGCACAGGATATACATGACTGTTTCAAAACATAGGGAAGGACAAGTAGTGAGGAAATATTGGACCACAAGCAAGACCAAAACGCAGCTGTGCAAATTCCAAACTCTGCATCTCCATGTCTGATGTCAAAATGCTCTTCAAATCTCCAGCCCTTTCAACCTTGTTGACTACAACACACCTCTCTCTTGGCTGGTTTCACTCAGCTCTCCTCAGCAGGCATCCCATAGCCCTGGCATTTCTAACATCTTGGGGTTTCCAAGGCAATCCAGACTTTACCTTCACAGCTCCATGAAATGGCCTCTCCAGACCTTAATTCATGAACACCCCTGTGGGGACACCAGACCTTGAGCAGAGACCCACTTCCCCTTTGGCCTGGGAGTAGGCAGCTGTAAGACAATGTTTACTAAAAACAAAACAAGGCCTGGGGCAATTAAGTTCCTGGAAAAGGCCTGCCCACGGAAACCACCCTGACCTCGACCTTGTCCAAAGACACGCCCAGATCAGTTTTTGGGGTCAGAGCAGAACCAGCCAGGGTAGAGGAGAGAACAGAAGCTTTTCTGGGAGCCTTTCTTAGGAAGTTTTCTTGAACCTTTTTGGGGCCTGCTTAAAGTTTTCTTTACACCGTTGAACGAGTCTCTGTGTTGTCAATCCCCGACACCCTCCCCACGTTCTCGGACACAGGCTGCCTAGTAGGTTCGACACACCCCTGACACATGCCTGGCCTGACAGCTTTATTTAGTCTCGGGGGTAAATTCAATAGCTCCTTTTTTCAATCCTTTCTTCAGAACCTGTCCCTAGGGACCCTTCTTATTGACTAGATCAACAAGTACTTTAAATCACAGGAACACACACAGGTCTGTGAGCTCTTCCTCACCCTCCTGACCTGACACAAAGCCCTGGCACCCTAGAACAAGGACAAGTGAGCTTTTCACCTCACACAGTAAATGCAAGTAACTATGTTATCACCAAAATTTAATGTCTTTAATGAAAATATATTAGTGACAAAAGTATTAATTACAAGTGCAATGTGTCAACAGGTTAAACACACCTAGTTTGTAATTCACCAAAGTGCTGATTGCAAGGCTCTGTCACGGTGATCACTGTAAGAAACAGGAAATGAACCACAGAAAGTATTTATCACACCCATGAAGTATGTTTGAATGTTTTCTGTCACAGATTCAGGTAGGCTAGGCTGTCCTTGAATTTGCTATGAAGCAGGGGAGAGCCAGAGGGTCCTGCCTCCCCCTCACTAATGCAGAAATGACAGGGATGTGCAATAGAGTGGACTTGAGTTTCTTTTCTGTCACAGGTCTGTCTACTTTAAATCACAGGAACACACACAGGTCTGTGAGTTCTCCACACCCTGCTGACCTGACACAAAAGCCTGGCAACATAAAACAAGGCCATGAGAGATTTTCGCCTATTCCTAGGGACCACACTTCTGGACCACCTCACCAACTCAAGGAGAGATCAAGAGATGTTGACACAACCGTTGTGGGCCAAGCAGACATCCTGTCTTTATGACAGTTAGTCCACCCTACATTAGGAATGGAGGACCTCTCAAAGGGTAAGACAACCCAGCCCCTCGACGTGAGGCCTGGAGTCAGCTCCTCCAGTCCCTTCTCCCTGCTGAGGATCCCTCTGTGTGTGGGCTGCACGTGTGCTCTCTCACCCCTAGTCAAAGCTCTTCTATAGCAGCTGAGTCTGGCAGATCTGTCTGCTGTCTTCCAGAATTTCTCACCAGATATCTTTGCTGTCCATCAGATTTTTTCCTCTCTTAAGTCTTTAACTGGCAGAGAATGTGAACACAATCCAGACTCAAGACCCTTACACCAGGCAGGCTAGAGTACAGGAGGGGTCAGACACCCCGTTTGCTCTAAGACACTGAGAATCTGACAGCATCCATGTGAGAAGGGCTCAGCTCATGAAGCTGCTTCCCCACCAAAGCTGCTCAGGGAGCTCCCAGCTCCACCTCAGGAGCAGGTAGTCAGCTGACCACCGATAGCTTGCAGTCCTGGGCCTTGCGCTATCGTCTACTCCGCGCTCCCGGGCAGCTCTCCTGTCCCAGAAGCTCAAGGCGGACTCGGGCTGCCCGTCCTAAGGAAACCATCTCTCAGGGCACAGTCCCATCGCCCTCTCCCAGCCCTGACCTGCAACCTCCCGCGTCCCAGCCAGTTCAGCAAGCACCTCCAAGGCAGTTTCTCAGCCCTCCCACCCAGCCCAGGTCCGCTCCCTCCAAGACGGAACCCGCACAGAGCCTCAGACTGCGCTGCATCCTGGACCAACCTTCAAGGCAAAGACGCAGCAGGAGACACAGCAGGACTCGAGCCCAACTTTGGGGTAGGTGCACCAGTTCAAAAACGAAAGCTCAATTGCTATTTCCTGGACGGCTACTCGTGATGTCACAATTTGGTGGACTACATTACCCAGAAGTCTTTGTAGGCAGCTTCCCGGAAGTCGGATGTAAATTCACATACCCACACCCGTTCTTGTATTTTGTTTGTACTCTGCTCTAATGTAGACTTTGTCTTAATACGCAGTACTGGAAATAAAGAAATAACCCTTGTTCATCTTTAGTGAACCTCTGTGTGAGCTAAATATAGATCAGTGCCCACAGCTTGAGAAACAGTTTTTGTGTGAACTTTGGAACTCATACTGAATTAAGTTGGTCAGGGACACAGAGCATACAAAGCATTGATCAAAGTTGGAAGTCTGACTCCCTAACATTTATTTGCAAAGAACTCCCATAATCCATCGCAGGATTTCCCCACCAATCCTTAAGTCCCATGAAAAACTTTCAGATGCTAATATACATAAAAAATTCAGCTGCAGTGGGAGCTCTGCTAAAATGATACCAACATCCACCTGGTCTTTCACAAAGTCATGAACATATACACTGTTCATAGTTCATGTTTATCTCCCTGCTCCCATCCCAACTGGAGGGGCGCGGCTCCTGTCTCAAACAGGTGTGCGTAATGACCACCGACCCATTATCGATTATTGGAATTCCCTATGCAGAGCTTTGGTCTGTTTCGTTCAAGCTCCTTTGCCATCTCTGATTCTGAAAATCTTCCTATGTGACAGTATGTTGGAAGTCAGACCATGTGCCTTGAACTTAACCTCAGTTTCTCAAAATCAGGAGACAGATAGCAGAAGTATCAAACAACCTTATTGAAATTTGACAAACAAATACGTTATTCTGCACCATAACCTCTACCTAGCAGCCTTGGAGAGTTTCACTTTGATCTCTGTTTAGGAAAGGCAATGCATTCTCTGTGTCCCATTAGACTGAGAGTTGCCAATATGTAAGTAGTTGTCTCAGATATTCTACTCACGAGGTCACATGGCTTTGGTGGATCTTTATTGAATCTCCAGTTACCTTCAAGGAACCCAGTGCAAGCTGCACAGACTGGAAACTGGACTGCTTTGTTGTACTCACATCCTGAGGTGAGGGAGGCCAGAAAGGACAGCCAGTAGTAGCTAGCCTAACCAGCCAGGGAGGCCAGGGCCCAACTCACAGTGGCTGTGTGGTGTGTAACCTGTTCGTTTGTTTGTTTCTTCAAGATAGGGTTTCTCTGTATTGTTTTGGAGGCTATCCTGGAACTTGCTCTATGGACCAGGCTGGCCTCGAACTCACAGAGATCCACCTGCCTCTGCCTCCCGAGTGATGGGATTAAAGTGAGTTCTGGGATTAAAGTCGTGTGCTTCCGATGTCCAGCAGTAACCTGGTTTTTTGTTTGTTTGTTTGTTTTTAATGTTAGAGCGCCCCTTGTCTGTGTGCCTCTCCAGTTAGAGAAGCTATACAGGGTCCTAATGCCTTCTCTTTCTAAGGGCTCCAAGCCTACTTCCTCTAACTGTGATAGGTTATTTCTTCTGTCTTGAGATTACTTTGCTTTATGCCTATGGTCTGCCTTGGTTTCTGCCTCAACAAGCCTGGCTACTCTTGTTTATGTTTCTATTTATACCTTTATAGGAAACAACTGTCCTTTGTGTATGGACAACATTACAAATCTATTTGCCTTTTGAGGCTGCAGGGGATATGCAGTATAACCAGGATATCCTGACAGGGCCTAAGTTAATTCATGCTCCACTTCTTTTAGCTACCTTCAGATCTTTGATTTTTATGAATGGGCAGGAACTGGGTCCTTAGAATCATTTTTCCTGAGGCAACCTGTCATTTGACAAAGTTTAACAACCAGTTAATTAAGTAGGGCCTGGTCATTAGAGCAGGTGTAGCAGGAGAGACGGGAGCAGCAGACATTCAGCAAGTATTTCCCCTTAAACCCTTGTGATGTCACAGGGTGAACATAGAATTTACTGTCATAGAATCTGTGTGCCATCTGAAGGAAATGGTTCTCCTTGAGCCCGGGGGTGCCCTGTCATAAGAGCATTGTAGCATTAACATCTTTAGGAGTAACAATCTATTTCCTAAACCAGGATTTTTAAAATTATAATTAGACTTGATTTTTAACTTTATGTCATATTAGACAAATTAAGTTATGTGAGGTATGTACTTTAGGGTGTACTTCAACAGCCTAAAGAGGAGTATAGAATGAGAGATATAATTGGATTCTCCTTCCCACTCATCTCTGTGAGTAAATTTCATTTATATTTAGCATGACTAGAAACACAATTCTGGACACATTAGAGACATTTAGTCACCTAGAAATCAGCGATTGTTAATGTTTAGGTGTTAATTACCCCCTGTTAACAGTTAACAGTACATTAGTAAACTTGAGATTCAGATGACTTTGGGATCTGTATATGCAGTAAAATAAGACCTGCCTCTACAGTGTTTCATACTTGAGGATCACATATCCACTAATCAAAAACATCCTTTCTGCTGAGTGAGTGCAACTGGTTTGGGTCCTTATTTCAGTGTGATGGCAATATGTATGACATGACAGATAGGTACATCTGAGAAATGCTGTTCTGAATGTAAAGGAAATAAGACATTCTTTATTCTGGATTCAAATATGACTGAAAATGTGTTCTTTTAGCATTTTCTTGAGAGATAAACACGCATGCCCATTCATCCCAGACTAGTACCAATGTAAACCATATCACCAAAGTCCAACCTGGAGATTATTATACACTCAGGGGAGATGTTATTACAGGTGTCGGGATGACACCACAGGGAAAAATAACGGTAACTGTACTATAGCCCAGATCTCAGATTCAGGGCACCCACAGGATCAAGCTTCAACAATGTAAAGCTTTCCTGAAACATTTATAATTACAGAAGAAATTCATCAATCAAAGCAAGTTTCAAACACACAGCTTCAACAAACTGGTGGGGAGGTTTCAACAAAGAGAAGTCTCTGCTGTTCTGTGATGACTTTTTTAGCATTTGTGCTCTTGGAAGTTAGATGTTCATGTTGACATTGCAAATAATTAACTTAATATTCTCCACTATGGATTCACTTCATTTGGATTAAGATCTGAATTGCTGCCTTTTGCAGGGAACATCACATTGTCCATTCTTTTGGTATTCCTCACAACCCCACGGGACAGGCTATTGTGGAGCGCACCCATGCCACTCTCAAACAGTATTTTAAGAAAATAAAAAAGGGGGAGTATGTTACCTCCCCCAATATTCAGTTATCCACCATACTTTACATTTTAAATTTTTTGACCATAGACCGTAATAATTTCTCTGCTATGGAGAGACATTGGAACAAACCCTCCCAGTCCTTGGGATGGGTCAGATGGAAGGACTTAATTACAGGAAAATGGCAGCCACCCACCCCCCTATTAGCTAGGGTCAGAGGGGCTGTTTGTGTTTTCCCTCCAGGAAGTGAGAAGCCCATTTGGGTCCCCGAACGGTGCATCAAGCATGTCGACCCCAATACTACTCCGGATACTAGGAATGCTCACCATGATAAAGATGATCCAACCATTGCTGAACACTCAGGTAAGGGAAATATGGGCATTGGTGAGGACTTCCCCCCCATGTTGATGCCAGTTAGTCATTCCAGCTCCCTGTTCATCAAATTTTATAACACCAATAATACATTGGGAGCGGCTGCCGCCAATGAGATTAAAAAGTCAGAAACTAGACATTCTGAGTTTCCCCCTCCTAAGCCTGATACCAGGGTCAGAAAGTAGGGGAATCCAAGAGATTGCCAGCGGCATACGCCTTTAATACCAGCGGCATACACCTTTAATCCCAACACGCCTTTATGAGGGAACATCCTGGGTTGAAAGTTGGATTGAAAATGGGTGAATAGCCGGGCGTTGGCAGCACATGCCTTTAATCCCAGTACTCGGGAGACACAGGCAGGCAGATCTCTTGAGTTCAAGGCCAGCCTGGTTTACAGAGCAAGTTCCAAGACAGCCTCCAAATAATACAGAGAAAAAAAAAATTGGTAACAAGCTGGGCAGTGGTGGCACACGCCTTTAATCCCAGCACTTGGGGAGGCAGAGGCAGGCGTATCTCTGTGAGTTCGAGGCCAGGCTGGACTGACAGCCTCAAACAATACAGAGAAACCCTGACTTAAAAAAAAATGGGTGAAAAAAAATTTTGTAACAGTAAAGAGGTACTGGTATTAAGTAAAGAAAAAGAAAAAGAGAAAGGGATATAGAATGGAAATTTTTGTTTACATTTAAGTTCTATTTTGTGAGTCATCTCTAAAAACTTTTGGCCAAAAGCTTAGCCTCTCCACCTTGCATCTACAGTTACAAGGAGTAGGTACAGCTGTACCCCATGACTGTAGCTCAAATGGAGGAATGATAAAGAACATACAGGACTTTTTAACCTCTTAGTTCAAGGATTGGCTGGAGTTGTTCCTTTATATAGATTTCAATTAAGGAAGCTTCATTGCAACAGACTAATCATGACCTAGGGAAAAAGGATGACTGAAAGATGCATGTATGTTCTGAATGTATGGTGTGGCCACACCGGTATGTATGAAATGTGATTGTGAATGCGTGAGTGTGAACTGCTTATATGATTAAAAGGATACTTAAATCCCTTCAAAAATAGTTAAGAAGCTACCTAGATTGCTTTAAATATAGTCAAAAGGAACATCCAGCCAGTCTGTTAATGTTTTAACAGAAAAATTTAAGATGCAAACGAGGCCTTGTCAGCTAGTGAGAGCTCTACAGGTTAGATTGGGAAAGACTGCTCACCGACTTCAAATAATTTTCAAAAGTTATTTGGACACAGTATAGTTTACAGTCTTTGAGTGATTTTCAGAAGTTTTTGGGAAATATTTAATGGATATGTCCCTTTTAATGGGCATCTACAAAAAATCTAAGTAGTAATCCCAATTTACCTAGATAGTCAACCAAGGAGGGTAGACAAATCCTTCTACTATTATGGTCCAGCTTCAACAGTTCAAAAAATTTTTAGAAAATAAAAAAGGGGAATGATATCCCCAGTCCCCACATGACTCATCAAATAATACACTCCTCATTTAAAAATTTTATAATGTGAATGCCAGTGAGCTTCAGACAGATTCTGGCATGATGGAACTTGAGCAACCATTGCTCAGGTCAAATGGAGACATCCATGCACTAAACAGTGGAGAAGACCCTAATTTGGGGTCGAGGGCATGTTTGTGTTTTCTTGCAGGAAAAGAATAAAGCTTCGGCAGCTGTCAGACCATTTAGTGAGATGCATGGAGCAGAGAAAAACTGGACCTGAGACCATGGGAGCATACCTAAGCCAGTTTGAGTGAGATCTCCTAAATCAGTGTTCCTGACCCTTGATGTCATCGAATCTAGAGCCCAAGAAAGAAAGGAAACAGTCGGTTCGAGATTTCCAGTTTCTCAACAGACCTGCTGCATCAACCTTCCGGACCCATGAGTTTTCATCGTGAAGCCAACAGAGAAAAAAGGACCCATTTAAAACATTTGGACATTGGTATGGACTGTGATGAGGGGCAAAAGCCTCTTTTCAGTAATTGAACAGGACATGGTCACTTGAAATATCAGACTTGATGGTTCCTGTTTCTGGAATCACGACTAGGCCAGTGTATTTTTCTAGAGAGATGCAACTTGTCCTAATGGGACAAAAAGGAGACTTTGACTCAAGTCGCATAATCAGCTGACGTTAAATCAACAAACTGCATCACCACAGGAACAAATTGGTGCTCTGTGGATAGTGCAACAAGCCTATTGTTCATATTTTTCATAATGCTACATGTGTAACATCAATGGTTGTACCTAATGTATCTGTGCAAGTGCACTTTCTAAATGCTTTCCTGAGCAGATCTTGGAACGATTGTAAACTTTATCAAATTGTAAATGTAAAGCACATGTGGGTTACCCTTGTAACAGAATGTAAATCACGTGCAGGTTACCCTTGTAACAGACGAAGGCTGGTAGAATGTTATGGCCCAGATCTGGTGATGGGTACGGTGATGGAGAGGCGATATGTCAATGGGGGTCCTGGGAATGGTGGCAGTGGCGGTAGGCATTCTGGCTTTATGCCGAGCTCAAACGTGCCTTGTCCCAGAGGCAAGAGATCCGTAACCAAGTATTGCTTAGCTTAGCCCATGGCAATCCCGATAGCCATAAAGCCTTACTACAGATGATTCTAAGGTTGGGGCGCTCTGTTGACAGGCAACCTGTGGGGAAGACCCCTCCCACCTAAGACAGGAGTTCAAGGTCCCCCAAGGACAGGAAAGGGATAGTGACCCTACTTGACCTAAGCCAGGAGTGCCTCATTTAAAAATAAAAAGGGGTGAATTGTGGGAACACCAGACCTTGAGCAGAGACCCACTTCCCCTTCTGTCTGGGAGTAGGCAGCTGTAAGACAATGTTTACTAAAAACATGTTTACTAAAAACAATACAATGCCCGGGGCAATAAGTTCCTGGAAAAGGCCTGCCCACAGAAACCGCCCTGACCTCGACCTTGTCCAAAGACTAATCACCTCTTCTGACACGCCCAGACCAGTTTTTGGGGTCAGAGCAGAACCAGCCAGGGTAGAGGAGAGAACAGAAGCTTCTCTGGAGGGAGCCTTTCTTAGGAAGTTTTCTTGAACCTTTTTGGGGCATGCTTAAAGTTTTCTTTACATCGTTGAATGAGTCTCTGTGTTGTCAATCCCCGACACCCTCCGCACGTTCTCAGACACAGGCTGCGCAGCAGACGTGACACTGAATGAATAGCAAAGATTTTTACCACATTCCCCATACTCAGAGTTTTATTCAGAATAAGTCAGTTGATGTGTCTTAAGGTCTGAAGAAGTAAACTTTTTAAGACATTTATAGGATTTCTCTCCTGTATGAACTATCATATGCCGAGTAAGGCTATAAAGATTAACAAAGGCTTTGCCACAGTCTACACATTTGTAGGGATTGTCTTCAGTGTGAATTGCTTGATGTCGTCCAAGACACGAAGATGAGGAAAAACATTTGCCACACTCTTCACACTGGTAAGATTTTTCTCTAGTATGAACTCTCTTGTGTCTCCTAAGAGCCGAGTGATAACGAAAGGCTTTGTGACACTCCTCACACTTGTATGGTTTCTCTCCAGTGTGAATTGTTTGATGTTCCTGAAGGCTTGCAGAACAGGAAAACCGTTTGCCACACTCTGCACACTTATAGGGATTGTCTTCAGAATGGAACGTTTGATGTCGTCTAAGGGATGAAGATGAGCAAAAACATCTGCCACACACTTCACACTTGTAGGGGTTGTCTTCAGAATGAATCGTTTGATGTCGTCTAAGACATGAAGATGAGGAGAAACACTTGCCACACTCCTCACACTTGTAGGGTTTCTCTCCAGTGTGAACTGTCTTGTGTATCCTAAGAGCTGAATGGAAACGAAAGGCTTTATGACACTCTTCACACTTGTATGGTTCCCCTCCAGTATGAACTTTGTGATATTCCTGAAGGCTTACAGAACAGGAAAATCTTTTGCCACATTCTTCATACTTGTAGGGATTTTCACCACAATGAATTCTTTGATGTTGCTTAAGGAATGAAGGATAGCAAAAGGATTTGCCACACTCTTCACACTTGTAGGGTTTTTCTCCAGAATGAATTCTTTGATGTTGCTTCAGCATTGAAGGATAGTAAAATGACTTGCCACATTCTTCACACTTGTATGTTTTTTCATCAGTATGATTTTTCTGGTGAATAAAAAGCGATGAGCGTGTATTGAAGGCCTTATGACATTCTTTACACGTGTAGGGCTTTTTTCCAGTGTGAAGTCTCTCGTGTATAGAAAGTGCTTTATGAGAACTAAGGGCCTTGCCACATTCTTCACATTTGTAGGGTTTTTCCCCTGCATGAATTCTCTGGTGTTTAATAAGGACTGGTTTAGGTTTATAATCAGTGGCCTTGCTATAATTGTTACAATCACTGGGTATTGTTCCTGTTGGACAAAAATTGAGATATGAACAAAAGGTAGGAAAAGTTCTTTATGCTTATAAGGCTTATCTTTAAATTAAAGATATTTACTCCTCATACATATTAAAGCATCAATGAAAAACTACTATTTCAACACTTATATACACTGAACATAATTCACAAAATAAAGAAGATGGAACAATCTATACTTCCACTGCAGTAAGAGTACAACCAAATAAGGCATAGACATAATGCCATATTATTCAAAGTTAAATAGCTAAATAACTTTAAAGGGTATTTTATTAATAGAAATAAGCCCATTAAACAATAGAGATGTTAAATGTCTGAACATCCATGAAATTATAAAGTAGTCAAGTCTAGAAAACAGAAAGTTAATTTTGATTATGTGATATTGGACTAACATCAAAATATACCATTGTAATCGTAAGTGTTTTATTTTGAAAGACACAAAAGCTACATTGCATGCCAAATAGACTATCTCTAGCAAGATTAAATAATATAGCCTAAGGATTTAGGACAGTATTTTATGTTTTATTATTGATGACTAGAAAATACATACCTGAAAGATATCAAGTCATAGCAAAAACTTCAGGTTCATTGGTGAATAACAGAAATTTTCCTGAGGATTTTTGTCAATGAACAGGTAAAAAAATTACCTATGTCTTTGTTTTTTGTTTTTTGATACAGGGTTTCTCTGTGTAACTCTGGCTATTCTGGAAACTGGTATGTGGATGAGGCTAGACTTGAACTCAGAGACCTACCTACCTCTGCCTCCCAAGTTCTGGATTTTATGCAGTGGGACACCAGGCCTGGTGATAAAATTACCTATTTCAAGATTCATTCATTTACAAGATTAAATAACCTTTGAGCACTGAATGGAAAGAGACAATGAACACGGCATAAAATGGAAGACCTATGTTTGTTTCCCCATGAGAACAAAATGAACAGAACCAGAGCTCTTAGATGTTTTTTTTTGTTTTGTTTTGTTTTTTTTGGTTTTACGAGACAGGGTTTCTCTGTATTGTTTTGGAGGCTGTCGGTCCAGCCTCGAACTCACAGAGATCCGCCTGCCTCTGCCTCCCAGTGCTGGGATTAAAGGCGTGCGCCACCACCGCCCGGCACTCTTAGATGTTTTTAATCTCACACTGTACTGATGTGTTTTATCAATGTGTTTTATCCACCTACCAAAATATATATGGTACACAAAACACACGATTATAGGCAATGCTCATTTCTAAATAACAATACAGCATAGCAAATCACAAAGCACTAAAAAAAAAACTACCTCAAACCTACAAAATTCTGAAAACTTATTGATAAGCTGTTAAACACATCCTCGTAGTTGCAGACAGTTTTAATCTTCAAATATCCACATGGCATGCATATTAAATCCTTATTATTGAGGAAAGTATGTAGAAAACTTCTATCATTCACAAAGAACTCAGATAACACTGATTAACCTGAGAGTAAATGATGCAAAAGAAACTTAGGAGCCAGGCGTTGGTGGCGCACGCCTTTAATCCCAGCACTTGGGAGGCAGAGGCAGGTGGATCTCTGTGAGTTCGAGGCCAGCCTGGTCTACAAGAGCTAGTTCCAGGACAGCCTCCAAAGCCACAGAGAAACCCTGTCTCGAAAAACCAAAAAAAAAAAAAAAAAAAAAAAGAAACTTATATGTGAACCTACTGTATTACAATGACTTCATACCACGGTCTATAGAAAAGTGTATACACGTCCAGGCATTTCTCACATTACAATGTTGACTCAACAGAAAGAAAAACCTTGGAAGTTTCTGGAAATACACAGCTCACCATTGGGGAATTACAAAGTTTAAGAGACTTAAAATCTCACAAACATCTGAGAGATGTCCTTTGACAACAAAAACTGGAGATACCTAAGGAATTATCTCCACAACAATACAGGTTTTAATGCACATGCAAAAGCCTGCCTTTTTGTTGGATATTTAGACCTCTCTGTCCCTGAAACCTTCATTCCTACCCACCTGGATGAACAGGGGCTTCTGCTTGTATTTTCACATCCCAAGGTCCTTGTCTTTGCTCCAGAAATGTCACCAGGAATGGCTTAGAGACAGCAAGACCTGTTTGTAGGAAAAGGGAACAAGATTGTTTGGGTGTTTTTTACCGGGAATTGGCATGCCCTTTCCAGTACACTGTTTATAGGAAAAGATATGTTGTAATACATGACTGCAGACAATCAGTTCCTTAGATGTTTTCTCATAGGACCACTACAATACTGAAAGGAATTTACTATGTCCAGATTTTGAGTCTCATTTAAAGGGAAAGACATTAAAACTGAATTGTGAAACACTTTAATTAACAGGTGTGTGCCATGCCTCATGCTATTGAGTTTCTAACAGTTCCACTAGACTGCAGAATGAAATACATGTTCAGGGGGCTGGAGAGATGGCTCGGAGGTTAAGAGCACTGACTGTTCTTCCAGAGGTCCTGAGTTCAATCCCCAGCAACCACATGGTGGCTCACAACTATCTGCAATTCAATCTGGTATGTAGGCAGAACACTGTATATGTAATAAATAAATAAATCTAAAAAAAAGAAAGAAATACATGTTCAACACTGACAGTTCAAACACTGGAATGTTTTATCTATGGAGCAAGCTCTCTAATTTTTCTTAAATGAAAGATATGAATCTGGCTGTTGAAATGTTCCCGTGAGACACCATTCAAAATGAGGAAGGTATGTGTCGGTGGTGAAATAAGAATTCACTATGGATGAGATCCTCACCCAGGGAATCAAGGTGACTGTAATTCTCCAACATCACATCCCTGTACAGATTCCACTGAGCAGGCTCCAAGCATTCCCACTCTTCTGGAGAGAAATCAATGGCCACATCCCAGAAGGACAGCATTTCCTGAAATACAGACCAGTTTTTAATTCATTAAAACCATAAATTATAGTATTAATACTAAGATGCATTGGGATGGATAGTTCTGTCTACTTTACACTGGCCATTTGAGAAGAAACATAATAGAGAAAATGTGTACCTAAGACTGTATCCTGTGACCAAGCCTAGAGGGTGTTTGTTAATTAGTGATTGATAGGAGACAGCACAGTCCACTATGGGTGGAACCTACTCTGGGTAGGCGATCTTATATATGGCATAGGAAAGCAGGCTGTGCAATTCAGTAAGCAGTGTTCTTCTGTGGCCTCTGCTCCAGCTCTTTCCTTAGTTTCCTGCCTTGATGACCCTCAGGGATGGACTGTTAACCTGAAGTTGCAGTCTAAAATGAACCCTGTAAATGGACATTTCCTGTCCTGACTTCCTAATCTCAAATAATAGACTCAATGGCTGAATATGAATTAAAAATGATCAGCTGATAGCTCAGGCTTATTACTAATTATCTCTTACATCTTAAGTCAACCCTATTCCTTATTTACCCTCTACCACATAGCAGTACCTTTACTAACATGGAACATTAATCTCCTGTCTCTGTGTCTGCTGGCAGACTCCTCAGACTCTGCTCTTCTCCTTCCCATAATCCTTAGTTTGGTTTTCCTCCTATACTTCCTGCAAGGCTAATAGCCAATAAGCGTTTTATCATACCAATTCAAGCGACAATTTTTAGTGTACAAGCAAAACGCTTTCTTCTGCAAGTTGTCATTTGCCATGGTCTTTATCACTGCAATAGAAACCCTAACAGGCATAATGTGCCTGTGGATACAAGTCTAGATTTTGCCCAGGATGAAAGTGTTTCTGACACAGATGAGTAATATTCCTCAGACATGTATGAGGTGGTCACATGAGCTCACAGTGTACTCATCTGTAGCTTGAATTTTAATTTGTCATTTGAGAAGAAACATAATAATAATAAAAGCCTGGAGTCAGATATTGGGGTAAAATACTGAAAGATGAGAGAAGTAAATGAGCCAGCACTAGAGACCTTTTACCTCTACTGAATGCTCAGAACAAATCTCCACAAATCCGCAGACTGAATGCGCTGAGCTTCTATCTCCTCCTGCCTTATATTCCTCTCTCCGTCCAATCCCTTCCTGTCTCCACCTCCCTGGTGCTGGGATTAAAGGTGTGTGACTCCCAAGTGTTGGGATTAAAGGTGTGAGTCACCACTGCCTGGCTCTGTTTCTCTTTTAGACTGGATCAATCTCGTGTAGCTCGGGGTGGCCTTGCCCTCACAGAGATCTGTCTGCTTCTGTCTCCCCAGCAATGTTAGGATTAAAGGTGTGTGCTACCACTGTCTGGCCTCTATGGTTAACTAGTGGCTTAGCTCCACACTCTGGTCTTCAGGCAAGCTTTCTTTGTTAGATCACAAACAAAATATCACCAGACTCATCTTCAAGGAAAGGCAAGGTAAAATATCCTATAAGCCCCGTTGGACATGATCCATTTAAGAGAGATGAAATGTAAAATGAATGCATCCACAAAAGAACATTCATTAGAGCCATGTGCTAATAATATACACCACACATATATACATTTCTCACAGAAGAAAACATAGTGAGGGAGCACATGCTTTTCACCACTTAATATGTATAATCATAAATGTGAAATGCAATGAAAATGCAGATTTTGAAGCAGTGGCTCTGACTGGTGTCCGGGTTTCTGCAGAGTTCAGTAATGGTGTAAAGAGACATGGGTTTGGGCAGGCAAAAGGTAGAATATCAAAGGGAGAAGTCACAGACTAAATATCAATCAAGTATTTGAACATACTTCTTAAAAACTGCAAGAAAAGGGCGGACAACCGAGAATTTACAGTAGAATAGACATCACTCAATCTATTAGTCATTTTCCTTTTCTACCTTTTCTCTGACAGGTACTGATTGATGTGTTAATGATATTCCTAAGGCAGGTTTTGCACATATACATCAGTGTGCTCTGGCTGAGGAATACAACTGCTGATGCGGTTTTCGCTTTTAAAATTTTCTAAATCAAGAATTTGTTTTTAATATCTTACTGAGTAAAGTTACAGAATGACCTATGAGAGTAGTCATACTTGATTTTGCCTTTTTATTGATGCATTAAAATTGTCAACAATATGTGCACTAATGCATTGTTTTGTAAAGGTAAGGTTTGGACTATCTTTCTCAGTTATGGTATGTATGCTCGCCTCATCAAACACAATCCTCCAGGCTTCTGAAAAGCACCCTACATAATGCTTCCACACTGAGTACTGAGGGCAACAGTGGGCAACAGCACTGGGGCTTTTCCTCCTATGACACTGTCCCAGAGCATCCATATTTTCAGAATATCCCCCAAGTCTTCATTTATTGATGTCACTGTTCAATGGGAACAACCATTACATCTCCAGCTTCTGTGAGTTACAATTTCTTACATTTAATATATTAATGAGATCATATATTAGCTTTATCTGCTTGAAAATAATTTCCAGCATCACCAATACTGTCACAATTAACAAGACTTCATTTTTTCTGAATAATTATCGAATTACACTATAAGTACATCATTTTCCCTTCTATCTCCTCATTGCAACTTCTCTCATGTCCTCCAATAGTCCATCTTGAATATATGATGTATTCTCTAATTTTTACTGTTATACACACAGCCATAAATATATATATGTAAATATGAATATGATGAATAATAGGTGGGCTCATTCTGGGGAAGACTAATTAATTCTCCCTCACTTAGCAGTTCTTAGGTGACCCTCCATTCAGAGAAGCCCGTGTACTGCATAAGTGACTTAGTGCTTAAAATACACACTACGCACATCATGAAGGAGTAGCCCCTGGGACTCTGTCCCAACTCTATGCTTACAAACGTGGGGAATGAAAGAGTCATCGGTTTTTGTTTTAAGCCACCAAGACTTGCAATTATATGACTCAGAAAATGGAATAAGTCCTGAAAAAATATGGAACTAAATGTATCTCCTTTGGAAACATGAATTACATAATTATAATGTGAATTTCAAAACATTATCACAAGCTTTGCCTTTTACATTAGATGTTTGACCATATTTGTGGATTAATACTCTGTATATTGTTTCTGAGTCTTCATAAAGCAAAAGTAAGTGGAGTGCATCCAGTACAGATTTGGGACACGCACTCTCATAGAGCTGACTTAATTTCATATATACACTGCAAAGAAAAGAACAAGCGAATGCAGATTTTGAAAGAGTTGGCCATGCAACTACACGCACCTTTCAATTCAAAACATGGCGCTGCATTTGATAATGACTGTAGTGGACACCATAACAGGGAAAGAAGTATGTTCTAGTATTTTCTGACACACACTCAGTAGCCTTTGAATTTGCTATGAAGCAGGGGAGGACCAGAGGGTCCTGCCTCCCCCTCACAAATTCAGAGGTGACAGGGATGTGCAATAGAGTGGACTGGAGTTTCTTTTCTGTCACAGGTCTGTCTATTTTAAATCACAGGAACACACACAGGTCTGTGAGTTCTCCACACCCTGCTGACCTGACACAAAAGCCTGGCACCATAAAACAAGGCCATGAGAGATTTTCGCCTGTTCCTAGGGACCACACTTCTGGACTACCTCACCAACTCAAGGAGAGATCAAGAGATGTTGACACAACCATTGTGGGCCAAGCAGACATCCTGTCTTTATGACAGTTAGTCCACTCTACATTAGGAATGAAGGACCTCTCAAAGATTTAAGACAATCCAGCCCTCAAGGTGAGGCCTGGAGTCAGCATCTCCAGTCCCTTCTCCCTGCTGAGGATCCCTCTGTGTGTGGGCTGCACGTGTGCTCTCTCACCCCTAGTCAAAGCTTTTCTATAGCAGCTGAGTCTGGCAGATCGGTCTGCTGTCTTCCAGAATTTCCCATCTGAGATCTTTGCTGTGCCTTAATTATTTAACTGTCAGAGAAAAGGAACACAATCCAGACTCAAGACCCTTACACCAGGCAGGCTGGAGTACAGGAGGGGTCAGACACCCCGTTTGCTCTAAGACACTGAGAATCTGACAGCATCCATGTGAGAAGGGCTCAGCTCGTGAAGCTGCTTCCCCACCAAAGCTGCTCAGGGAGCTCCCAGTTCCACCTCAGGAGCAGGTAGTCAGCTGACCATCGTTAGCTTGCAGTCCTGGTCACCTCAGCTGACCATCGTTAGCGTCCAGTCCTGGTCACCTCAGCTGACCATCGTTAGCTTGCAGTCCTGCTCACCTCAGCTGACCATCGTTAGCTTGCAGTCCTGGTCACCTCAGCTGACCATCGTTAGCTTGCAGTCCTGCTCACCTCAGCTGACCATCGTTAGCTTGCAGTCCTGGACCTTGCGCTATCGTCTACTCCGCGCTCCCCGGCAGCTCTCCTGTCCCAGAAGCCCAAGGCGGACTCGGGCTGCCCGTCCTAAGGAAACCATCTCTCAGGGCACAGTCCCATCGCCCTCTCCCAGCCCTGACCTGCAACCTCCGGCGTCCCAGCCAGTTCAGCACAGCATCTCCAAGGCAGCTTCTCGGCCCTTGCACCCAGCCCAGGTCCGCCCCCTCCAAGACGGAACCCGCACAGAGCCTCAGGCTGACCTGCACCCTGAACCAACCTCCAAGTCAGAGACGCGGCAGGAGACACAGCAGGGGAGGACTCGCGCCCAACTTTGGACAAAATGCACTTGTACAGAACAAAACCCGGATTAGGATTTCCTGGAAGGCTCTCTGTGACGTCACAACATCACGGACTACATTTCCCAGAAGTCTGCGCGAACCAATTCCCGGAACCAGGTAGAGAGAATTCTACTGTTACTGAATTTGTGTCTAGCTTTCTGCAAGTAGATAGTGGAGAAAGGAGCAGAGTCAGCATTACTGCCCTGTGCAGAGAGGCAGATGTTCCCCTCCTGATTCACTACACGAGATTATGAATGTGAGTCATGCCATTATTAGCCTTGTAAGTTTTCTGGTCCGTATATTGTGATTTTAATCTCACAAGAGAGTTTAAAAATCGCCTTGACTTCGTTTTACTTTAAAGAAGCAGCACAGTAATGTGGGAATGAGAAGTGTCTTTTAAAGATGATTTTGAAACCAGCCGTGGTGTATCTAACCGTGCTCCTAGCTGCTTCTAGGTTGCAGGACAAATGGGTCCTGGATGAAAAGCTGGACTGGAAAATTTAAAGAGAACTTGTATCTAAATAAAAAGGAAAAGTCAAAACAAAAGAAAACGAAACAAAGACAGATGAAAGCAGTCTAGTATATTGTAGGTTTTGTCTTAATAGGCAATCCTACAAATACATACATACATACCTACATACACACATACATACTCCTTGTTCTTCTGTACTGACACCGTGTGACCTGACTCCACAGCTTGTGAAAGAGTTTTGTGTGAACATTAGTGTCCTACAGTGTAGAGGATTGGTGATGGACACAGAGACGGTATAGTCACTGAACAAAGTTAAATGTCCAACTCTGACATTTACTTGCAAAGATCTCCCATAACCCATCTCAAGATTTTTCCACCTGTCCTTCTGTCCTTGAAAACTCTCAACTGTTACTCTATGTAAGCAATTTAGTTTTTGTGAGAGCTCTACTAGAATTTTACCAGTGTTTTCATGGTTCTTCACAAACTCAGGTCCACATTCACCACCAGCAGGGCTGGGAACTCATGCTCACCTCCCAAGTGAAGTGACATGCCCTGGATCACAGACTCAGGACTGAAGCACAGATAGCCCCAGTGTAGAGTTTTCCATATTTCTGCCATGAGGTTCCATATGGTGAGGTTCCAATTCCACTTAGCCACCACCTGCATGCTCCATGACATGTGACCACACAGGGACTGTTAGGAGGGACACTGAACATCTGACCACTTATATGGTGAAGCAGTTCTCTCTAATAGTGCTACAAAGCTCCATGTTGACCTACACGTTGCTGACCCTGGAGAAACTTTCTTAGAAGTGAAGTTTTGAGCATGAAGCTGCTATAAGGGTCTTCACCTTTCAAATGAAATTGCACTTCCACAAGCCAGAGACTTCCTTCGATGTGCCCTTGGCTCAGAGCAAATCAATGTGGGCTCTGTACAAAGTGCCTGGATTCCCCAAACTGGAGTTAATCTCTGAGAATTGCAGCTGATTTCACATTGTCTATAACTTTAAAGTTACCGTGGTTTAGAAGGAGATTAGTACCTATAGGTCCAAACAATTGAGTGCTTGTGCCTCAGATGGAAGGAATTGTTTTTGAAGGATTAGAGGGTTTGTACTGTGTCACTGGGGGTGGGCTTTGGAGTTACAGGATCCTATGCATTACCTGTCTCCTAATGGGGATCAAGATGTGAGCTCTCTGCTCCTGTTCAAGGATCATGCCTGCCTACTTGAAGCTGTGCTCTCTATTAGAGAACTTTTACACAATGGAACCATGAGCCACAAATGATTTATGTGTTTTCTTACAGCAAATTAAAAGACACTCTATTCTGTGGTTTTCCAATAGAGAAGAGAAGGAATGTCTACTCACCTGAGATCAGTGTCTAATGGTAGACACAGCAAAGATTCTACTAATGTCCCTATCTTCATGAGTCAGTGAGTTTGCTACTGGAATTGCAAACAGAAGTATGTTTGAGGGATTGGAAGAGGAACTCACATGATTCAAAGCAATAGCATCAACAGTACCAAAAATCTGAGGGACTCTGGTTAAAAACTCAGGAAAGGGCATGTCTTCAGCTCAGTGTATGACTTTCAGGGAGCTCCACCGATGAGGCAGTCTCTTCCCCTACAGTTCTTACTGTTTATGTAGCTGTCAGTAGTGAGGGTTCTCAGAGTCTTGGAAATGTCTAGGAATTCCTCATGGCCATCACATGCTTAGTTCCTATGGTTAATGAACGCCCATCCAGATTGGGATGTTTCCCTTGAATGGAAATTGTTGGTCAAATCCCAAGCTACTTCGTGAGTGAGGGAGCAATGAATGCATCTCTTCCGCACTGTGTACTGTCAGGGCCTACTCCCGAAGTATGGAGGCACACATTTTGAGAAAGGGTCTTCTGGCCTCAATAATTACCAAAGAAGTCTCCTTAGAGGCAGTACCAGAAGTTTGTCTTTTAGGTAATTGGAGATATCAAGTGAAAAACATCCATGCCTTTTGGGTAACTGAGTTTGAAAGTCATCTACATTGTGGTGATCTTATCAGACATAAGTGTCCTGTCAGTGAGCTAGAGATGTACTTATCTTCCTTATCATACCTGGGAACATGGCCTTTCCATGTACCCAAAGGATAGGAGTCTGTATATTCCCCAGAGATCAATCTTGACAGGAGTACTTTAATGACTAAGGGCCATCTCGTCCTGATTCCATTTATGTTTACATGAAAACTTCTCAGCCCTCCAAACTTCTCCCATATTTACATGGATTCTGCTATTTATCAACCATGTCTTCATGCCTGTGGGTGCCACAGACCACCCCAGCCCAGTATGGGGGTCCCTGGGATAACGGTTCTCGATGACTAGGTGGGTAATGATTCGCCAGTGACAAACAGAAACACAGAGGCAGTTTGAATCTGAATGTATTTGCAGGTTTTTAGCAAGGCTTTTTATCCAGGATAAAGCATATCTTCTCAAAGTTTGTGTACAGTGAAGCAGGCAAATGACATCATTGTTACTAGGCATAGTAACACACAACTTAACCAAAGCTAATAAAAATGATAAATAAAAAATCATTCAAGGCTAACCGTAACTAACCACCTATCTCTAAGATCAGGTTAATAATTTGTTATGGTTAGTTATTGTTTGACATCTGTTACCTAGTTCACAATTGCTTAATTTTGTTGCCTAGTTCTTGTGAGTCTTTGAAATAGAGCAATTTTAATGTTTTTTCTTATCAAAAAGCCTTCTTTACCAAACATTTAAACCACTCTCGATCACACATGTACAGCCATATGAAATTTTATTGTTGGAAAATTTTTTATCAATACTATTACTATTTAATTACGTGAATGATTCGAAAAACGCTGGTTTCCCTGGAGATGGGATCATGGTTAATGAGCACGTCTCAGGAGACAGTTTCTCATTTATATTTTTTGTCTAAAATGTCAGCATAGGCTTTCAGGAACATTTTGTTAATATGAGAAAAGAATAGAAGAGCAGAGATTGCCATGAGAACTACAACTCAATATTTTTCTCCTGCTGAGAGTTCCACAACAGTTTCCAGGGGACCTCCTTCTTTCGAAGTTATTGCCTCAGTCTGTGGAACTTGTCACACAGAATGTACTGGATTTGGTGTGCAAGTGGGACAAGCAATTTTCCATATTAGCCCTCTGTCTCTCTCTGGTCATCTTGTTTGCAGTTTTAATTTCTTTGTGCACTCTCTACATTGTTTACCCTGTTACTTAGAAATACATTGTTCAGTAGCCTCATTATTGTTTCCCACTTTCTGCCATATCAGTCATTTCTTGGTGAAATTCTCTCAATTTGGGTACCTGTGTATGTATCACTGTTGCACACGAGGCTGTAACTTGACATATAGTCCTGTAACATCATGTCAGCATCTGCTTTAAGACAAAACAATCGTTTCCTTAGCCAAACGTGAGAGACTGCCCTTTTAAAAATTTAGGGACACAAATGGCTCACATGACAATCATGCCTCTTCAATGTGTAAGGTAACCTAGTGGGTGTAGGGGACAGGGTGGCTCTCGATGTCTCAATGCTATGCTCACTCAGAATGTGCTGCCTCTTCTCTTACTATTATCTCTCAGGTTCAGATGGAACCCAAACTGTTCCAAACTTACAAAATATTTCTCCAGCCCAAGACCTAGTGGCTTTTTCAGTTTTAGCACCCTTGACACTCTTGAAACTCACTATCCATCATGTTATCCTGCTACCATTTCCTATTGCTGAAAATTTCCCAGTGTGCAATTACTTGTCTCACGTGCTCATGAGGTCGCAAGACTTTGACAAACCTTATTTAGCCTCCAGTTACCTTAAAGGAACCTAATGAGAGACAACGAGACTGGAAACGGGGCTTCTTGGTTGTGCTCACATCCTAAGGTGAGAGAGGCCAGGAAGGACAGCCTGTGGTGGCTGCAGGGGGGCTCCTAAGCTGGGGCTGTCATGTTGGCAGTAGGGGAACATCCACCCTACACTTATTTATCCTTCTGAAACTTCAGGTATCCAATAGCCTAACCAGCCAGGGAGGCCAGACCCCAACTCACAGTGGCTATGTGGTATGGGGCCACTTTTATCATGCTGGAGGGCCCGTGAGCTGAGTGGCTCTCCAGTTGGAGAAGCTATACTGACTCTTAATGGCAGCTCTTTCTAATATGTCTCCAAGCCTGCTTCCTGTAGATGGACTTTTCTTTTAGGGACACCAGGTCACAAAAAATGACATGGAGACTTATTAATTATGAAAGCTCTGCCTTACCTTAGGCTTCTAACTAGCTCATAGTTTAAATTAGCTCATATTTTTTAAATCTATGTTGTTGGATGTGCCTCCATTGTTCCCATTCTGGCTCTCTCTGTCCACAAGTTCTGCTTATACTTCCTGCCTAGCTATTGGCCATTTAGCTTTTCATTAAATTGATCACAGTGACACATCTTCACACAGTTTAAAAGAATATTCCATAACATTTTCCTCTTTTTGTCTAAATTAAAAACAAAGGTTTTAACTTTTAATACAATAAAACTGTATTCAGTAAGAACAATTACCAGGAAGGATTAAATTCACAACGTCCTGATGGGGCATGTCAGGTGGGATCTCTGGACAGGAACAGAGAAAGGGAATTGGTGGGTGGGGGAGGGGAGGAGCTATGTAGCCACCAGGATTTTTAGACATTCTCTGGTAAGCCAAGTCCATGTGGAGACACACAGATGAATAGAAATGGGTTAATAATTAAGAGAGAGCTAGCCGATAAGAAGCCTGAGCTATAGGCCAGTTTATAATTAATAAAAGCCTCTGTGTGTTTATTTGGGACTGAATGGCTATGGGACCGGGCGGGACAGAAACTTCCATCTACAATGTCCTGTCCATTTGCATTTGGCTAATTTATAGGCAATACTCTCAGATTGATTGTATTCCCTCCAGATCCATCCCTCCTCCATTCGGGGTGAGACATAATGAGGCCCTTCTGCAACCATGCATGTTGTATGGCTGAGTTTAGCTTGTGTAAAGGTTGTTCTGGTAGTAATAGCCACAGTGTGCTCATGCATGAAATGGTGCTGAGATTTCTAGCAAATACTGTTTCACTGCAGATATCCACTCTATCTAGCTCTGACATTCTTTCTACCTCTTCTCCCTTGGGAATCTTTGGCTTTTGGCTTTGGATGTGTGTAAGGGACATCCCTTCCAAAGTCTGATACAGGTGTCCCTTTAAGAGCCTTCGACAGTCTATTATTCTCTACACTTCGACCAATTGTGAATCCATGTGTTAGTCTCCATGCACCGCACAATTAATATTTCCTGGTGGGTGCTGAAAGGTACCTCACTCTAAAGATGAGAATTTGGGTTCATTTAGTTACTATCCACTTTTCAGAATAAAATCCTCCCTAGGGCTTATCGCCTAGCCAAGCACAAGTTTCTCGGTTGACAGAGTTTCTGTTCCCCCTGGTCTTGCCGCCCTTCAGGCCCAAATAAATATGCAGAGACTTAAATTAAATAAAAATGTCTTGCCAATGGCTTAGGCTTCATACTGGATAACTCTCTTAATTATTAACCCATTTCTATTAAACTGTGTATTGCCACGAGGATGTGGCTTACCTGTAATCCGTCATGTTACTCCTTTGGCAGCATAACATCTACCTGGCAGCCCCTCTCTGCCTCTTCTCCCTAGAATTCTCTTCGTCTGGTAGCCCAGCCTATACTTCCTGCCTAGCTACTGGTCAATCAGTGTTTTAATCACCAACCAATAAGAGAAACATATATACAGAAGGGCATCCCCCATCACCCACCAGCATCTCTGCCATGTAACTAGATTCTCAGGAATCCAAGGACTGGGGCAGAGCCAGCTGCCTTTAGTCCTACCCATGCTATTTAGAAGATTAAAGATTTATGTGGTCAGAAAAAGATAAAGATACACAGTAAAGACTGATTCAGATGAAGAAAAACCTCTAAACATTTACAGTGTGTTCAAAATATATGTAGGCTTGGGAGAGAAAAGAAAAATGAAAGTCCTTAAAAAAGAAACATAGTAGCTGGCTGTGGTGGCACATGCTACCTAATCCCAGTACTTGGGAGGCAGAGGCAGGCATATCTCTGTGATTTCAAGGTCATCTTGGTGTACAGAGTGAGTTCCAGGACAGCCAAAGATACATAGAAAAACCCTGTCTCAAAAATCAAAATTAAATTAGAGTAATTTTTTAAAAAGCCACATAAAGATGGAAAATAAACAGAGAGTCTGGATACTGTATGCTATTGTGTTGTCTTTGGATTGTTTTGACTGCCGAGGAAGGAGCAACAGCTGTTAAGACATTCGATTATAAATGCTGCTAGATTAATCCAACCTATATATTTTGAAAATGCCTTGACTTCAAAATTTAAATCTAAGGGCAGGTTGCTTTGGAAAAGAGGCTCTGCTTTTGTTTCCACAGCAGATGAAAAGCTGTAGTTTTCTTCCACACTAATGTGGTTTGATCAACCAAGACCCCCTGAAGCAGTGACCCAGGTGATCCAACATCCAAAACAGCTGAGAATAAACAGCCTCACAAACCACTACAGCTAGGATTTGGCCAGGGTTCTGGTTTTTCTCAGGATACCCATGGGATTGACAGTGCCCTCAAACATCAGTAAGCATTTTAGAGAGAACCACACCCAAATTCCCAAATATTGTTTATAAATGTTTGTTTTCACTTAAATGGGGTTGATTATAAATGACTAATCTCTTTCTAAAGAAAAACAGGGAATATGACATAGAAATGAACAATTTGCATTGGTATGTATTTGGTTTATTGATAAAAATGTAAGGCAGTTTTGTTATATGTATATTTCTATTCTTATTTAGTGTTCATACAACCCTTTGAAATTCATAATTAAATAGAGATTATGCTCACCTGCAATAGTAAAAAAGTATAGTTAAGTTTTGTAGATATGCAGAGACATATTTCAAATGGATAGGTATTTTTCAAAACTTTTTAAAGTCCTACAAAATATGACATTTAAAATGGTTTAAGGTTTTTCATGACAATGAGACATAACTGCTCCGGGCAACACACATAACAAGAAAGAAGAAGATGGGCATTGAAGAAACTCATGGAATTTGCCTTCAACATGGCAGAAACAGCCATTTAAACAAGAGACTGCTCTTGCCTAGGCAACCTGATAGCACATTGTCCAAACTGGACAAGCAGGTTACAAAGGAAACTGACTGCTGAAGTTGCCAAGGGACAGGATGGTCCTTCAAGGTTCCTGCATCATCAAAAAGAATGCCAGACATTCTGGGCATGTATACTGAAGAGGGATGCTCCAACATTACAGAGGAACTTTGGGTGACTGTCCAGGCATGGAGATGTCTCTTTGAATAGTAGAATTTACATATTATCCTTTTAGGGTATTTGATTGAGTTGAAGACAGATAGTTATGGTTATGGATATCCTTAGTTATGATAAAAAATAAGTTACACATAAAACTTTAGACTCACAAATATAGGATAATTGATAGAATATTTTCTCTAAATTTTGCCAAATGTAGTAGACTAAATATTGATAACTATAGTTCTTCCTTGATAACTCTTTTGTTACATATAATCTTACTACACTAAAGTTAAAACCTTTCTTTTTATTTAGATAGAAAAGAGATGATGGTGGAAATCTTTCTGTATGCTGTGAATATATGTTTCTCTTATTGGTTGATGAATAAAGCTGTTTCAGCCAATGGACAGGCAGGATTTAGCCAGGTGAGAAATCCAAACAGGGATAGAGAAAGGTAGTGGGTGGAGTTAGGGAGATGCCATATAGCTACTGAGGAAGTAAGAGGCCTGGACATCACTGTAAACCAAGACCACTTGGAGATACACAGATTAATAGAAATAATTAAGAAAGAGCTAACCAATAGGAAGCCAGAGCTATAGGCCAAAGAGTTTATAATTAATATAAGCTTCTGTGTGTTTATTTGGGACTAAACAGCTGCAGGACCAGGCAGGACATAAACTCCCGTCTACAACACAGGGACAGTATAATCACTGAACAAGCTTAAAGTTCAACTCTCTGACATTTATAAAGAACTCCATAATCCTACTCAGGATTGGTCACCTGCCCTTAACTCCCATGAGACTCTCAGCTGTTAATCTGTGTAAATATTTCAGTTTTTAGAGGGCTCTACAGAATTTTAACAATGTTCCCATTTTGTGTTGTTTTGTTTTCACAAATCCAGGTATGTATTAGGCACCAGGTGTGATATTAGCTCATGCTTACATCCCTGCTCCTCTCCAAAGTGAAGGGATCAGGCTCCTTGGTCAAACAGGTGTGTAATGACAGCTCACCTGTTATCCATTGCTGGAGTTCCCTCTGCGGAAGTTTGATCTGCTGTGTTCAGTTTTCTCTTCTCTGGTGCTGGAAGGGTTCCCATGTGACAATCATGGAATTTGACAATCAAACACCTTACTAAACACAATAATCTCTACCCTGGCAGGCTCTGAGAGTTTCACCTTCATCTCTTACTAGGAAAGGCAGCCTATTCTCTATGTCCCTTTAGATGCTAGTAGAAGACAATTGCTTATCCCACAGTGTTTACAATGTTACGACTTCAACTTGCCATGGAACAGTGGACACCTGCCATTCCAGGTGGGAGGAATAGCCAGGAAGGAAAGATAAGAATGGGTAAGACAGAAGTGCAGTGTGAAATCTCCAATCCTCTAACATTGCATGCAAGACATCTGAGTATCCTGACTGAAGTATCTGGACTCCAAAGAATTGTGCCAACTCAAATTTCCATCCCTGTGCTCTGAAGAGAGCAGATAGTCTTTGTCTACATTTGGCTATGTTTCTGTCATGAGGATATGATGGGTATCCAACACAACTTAGCTGTCATCTTCACATTTCATTGTGAACTGGTTCGCTTTACACTGGTGGCAAAGCTCCATTCCATGCTCACTGACATGTTGTACCCTAGTGTCTACAAAGGTAGTAAAAATTGGACAGTGCCATCAAGTTCTGCTTCCATCTCGAAACAGTGTCCAACCCCATAGCACAGTTTCCTTCTTCTATGCCTGCTGACTCTGAAGAAACTTTCTTAGAAGTAAAGTTTTGAGCATGAAATTCCTACAGTGGCCTTCACCTTTCAAATGAAATTACACTTCCACAAGATAGAGACTTCCATGAATGTGCTCTTGGCTCAGAGAACATGTATCATGGGCTCAAAGTACCAGGAATGCCAATATTGACTTTTAATCTAACAATTACAGCAGATTTCACATGGTGTATAACTTTAAAGTCACTGTAGTTAGAATGAGATTGGCATCTATAGGCTCATACAATTGAATGCTTGGTTAACAGTTTGGGAAGGATTAGGAAGTATGTCCTTGTAGCTGCCAATTATTGTGGCAGGCAGCCAGGAGTGGGCCAGTTGGACCTAGCAACTCTTACATCGAACCTGCAGTGGCTAATGGAGCATGTAGAGGGCTGAGCCTTGTTGCAGTGGATGAAGCTATGGGGTGAGGATCCTGTCTCTAGGGGATATAAATGCAGGACATGGAACATGCTACAGCAGCCGCAGAGTCTGGGAAGCCACACAGGCATTTTGGAGTCTAACCATGTAGGCACCACTTGTAATGAGAAATCCACATGCATCTGTTTAAGGGGTATCAATGATTTATTAAGATATGAAAAGGGAGGAAATACACCCACGAATACAGTAATACAGTTGCAGAGTCCCTTGGAACGCTGGGAACTGATCACACACTATTTCACACTACCTGTCCCAGTCTTCACCACCCAAGAAAGTATAACCCACTATCTCCTTTCTTACTAGAGGCCACATAGAGGCCACGTAGACTAACAAGAAACACTGCATCTATGGGACCAGTTAGTCCAAGGTCATGAGCAGAGCGAATAAGCACTGCATTATATCATGTGCTGAGTAAGGATACGAAGAGTAATACAGTCTTTGCCACATTCCCTACACTTTTAGAAAGTGTCTTGAGAATGAATTCTATTTTTATGCTGTTTAAGGCCTGAAGATGAGGAGAAACATTTGCCACACTCTTCACACTTGCAGGGTTTCTGTCCAGTGTGAACTCTCTTGTGTCTCCTAAGGGATAAGTAATAAGGAAAGGCTTTGTGACACTCTTCACACCTGTATGGTTTCTCTCCGGTATGGACTGCCATATGTTCTTGAAGGTGTTTAAGGCACAAAAACCGTTTGCCACACTCTGCACACTTGTAGGGATTGTCTTCAGAATGGATGGCCTGATGTCTTTTAAGGGAAAATGATGAGTTAAACAATCTGCCACACTCGTCGCACTTGTAGGGATTGTCTTCACAGTGAATTGTTTGATGTCGCCGAAGGGATGAAGAGAAGCAAAAACATTTGCCACACTTCTCACACTTGTGGGATTTCTCCCCGGTATGGACTCTCTGATGTCCTTGAAGGTATGTAAAACAGAAAAACCGTTTGCCACACTCTGCACATTTATAGGGGTTGTCTTCAGAATGGATGGTTTGATGTCGTCTAAGGCACAAAGATGAGGAAAAACATTTGCCACACTCCTCACACTTGAAAGTTTTCTCCTTTTTATGAATCGCTTCATGCTGTCTAAAGTATGAAAATGAGAAAAAGCACCGGCCACACTTTTCACACTTGTAGGGTTTCTCTGCAGAATGAATTCTTTGATGTTGCTTCAGCATTGAAGGATAGTAAAATGACTTGCCACATTCTTCACACTTGTAGTTTTTTTCAGCAGTATGATTTTTCTGATGTATAAAAAGAGATGAGCGTGTATTGAAGGCCTTATGGCATTCTTTACACTTGTAGGGTTTCTCTCCAGAATGAATTCTTTGATGTTGCTTCAGCATTGAAGGACAGTAAAATAACTTGTCACATTCTTCACATTTGTAGGTTTTCTCTGCAGAATGAATTCTTTGATGCTGCTTCAGCATTGAAGGATAGTAAAATGATTTGCCACATTCTTCGCACTTGTAGGGCTTTTCATTAGTATGATTTTTCTGGTGTATAAAAAGTGATGAACGCGTATTGAAGGCCTTATGACATTCTTTACACGTGTAGGGTTTTTCTCCAGTGTGAAGTCTCTGGTGTATAGAAAGTGTTCTGTAAGAACTAAGGCCCTTACCACATTCTTTGCACTTGTAGGGTTTCTCCCCTGTATGAATTCTCTGGTGTTGAATACTTAATGAGCTATGATCAATGGTCTTGTTGTAAACATAATCATTGGGTGTGGTTCCTGTTGAGCATAAGTTGAGATATGAACAAAAGATAGGAAATATTCTCCATACTTAACCTTTTAAAAATGAAACATTTACTCATATGTATCGAAGCAGTATATTTCCAAGCCTATAGGCCCTAAGCATAAATGATAAAATATTGTAGGTAGAAATGATATATACTTCTACTAGAATAAGGGCACAACTAAATAGAGCATAGACATAATGGCATATTAATCAAAGTTTAATAGCTAAGTAAGTTGTAAGGGCATTTTACTAACAGAAATAAACCCATTAAATGAATAGAGATAGTATATGTCTAGACACTTACGATTATAAAGTAACCAAGCCTGAAAAGAGAAAGTTAATTGTGATTGTATGATTTTGTGACCTCATCTAAATACAAAATTTTCATCCTCTACATAAAGTTTATTTTGGAAGTTACAAAAGATATGCTGCATAACAAGAAGATGGTCCTCAAAAAGAGTAAATTTATAGCTCAAAATTCCATGACATTACTTTGTTTTATTTGGATGACAAGAAAATATATACCTGAAAATCCTGAGTAATGATTAAAAACAAAAACAAACAAAACACAGCCAGGTGGTGGTGGTGGCGCATGCCTTTAATCCTAGCACTTGTGAGTCAGAGGCAGGAGGATCTTTGTTAGTTCAAGGCTAGCCTGGTCTACAAAGCAAGTTCCAGGACAGGCTCGAAAGCCACACAGAGAAACCCTGTCTCCAAAAACCAAAACAAGCAAGCAAAAGCCTTCATGTTCACTTGTGCATTACACAAACTTTGCTGAGTCGACATATTTGTCACTGAATAGATGACAAAATTACTTATTTCCCTTCGTGTTTGCTTTTGCAGACAAGGTTTCTGTGTAGACCTTGCTGTCCTGGGACTCATTATCTAGACCATACCTAGGAGTATGCATTTTGAAACCACACATTTTTGAAAGCTCAGTGGTTTGCTATTAAATGCATATATACACCTAGGTACAGACAGTTTTAATCTTTGAATATGTATATACAAAGAGGATGCATTTTAAATCCTTATCACTGAGTGTGTGATGAAGAGAAACTTTACAAGGTATCTTCATTAAAGACAAAGAACTCTGATGGGGTCACTATCCTCAATGTGAGTGTAAGTGACATGAAAGAAACTCATGTGTGAAGTTAGTTTCTTATAATGGTTTCACACCTAGTTATTTAGGAATGTGTGCAATTTTTCAGTTATGATGGAAACACCTGCCCCAAGTGACTCAATTTTTTTCTTTTTAAAATTTAGTTTAAATTAGAAACAAGTTTGCTTCACATGTCAAACCCAGCTCCTTCTCCCTCCCCTCCTCTCCCGCCCCCCTTCAGCCCTCTCTCAACCCCTCACCCAATCCCCATTTCACTCTCCAATGAGGGTGATGCCCTTAATGGGGGATCTCGAAAGTCTGTCATATGATCTGGGGCTCCCAAAGTCCATCTGGATGACAGGGCTAAATGCTGACATATTGCCTGAGGCCCCAAAGGATGCTGAGACCTTTTCACTGACACCCATGTTCAGGGGGTCTGGATCAGTCCCATGCTGGCCTCTGAGTTATCAGTCTGGGGTCTATGAGCTCCCCCTTGTTCAGGTCAGTTGTTTCTGTGGGTTTCACCTGCCAAGTCATAACCCCTTTGCTCTTCACTCCTCCCTCTCTGCAGCTAGGTTCCAGTTCAGTTCAGTGTTTAGCTGTGGGTGTCTGCCTCTGCTTTTCTCAACTGCTGGATGAAGGCTCTAGGATGGCATACAAGGAAGTTGTCAATCACATTATCAAGGGAAGGGCAATTAAGGTAGCCTCTCCAGTACTGGTTAGATTGCCAGCTGGTGTCATCCTTGTAGGCCTCTGGACATCTCACTAGTGCCAATTTTTCTTGGGTTTTATCCAGCTGCTCCCCCAACCAAACAATCCTGCTGAGAAAATGATCTCATGCAGCCTCACTTGTAGCTTTGAGAGACCTACTGGTTTACAATATAAAATAAATTGTTTGACTCAATGAAAATTAAAGTTTTAGACTTTAGGCCCCTAACCTGTGTGTGGTATGATGGAATTATGGACCTGGCTTTATAAACCCAATCAAACTAGGGTCAGATAGTGCTGGAATCACCAATGCTTTTCCTGACAAAACCCAACCTAGTCCTTCTGGAAATCCAATGGGTAAGTGTGGGTAGTTTTGTCTGGTCCTGATCTGATAAAAATCTTTGACAGGGACTCCCTCCCTGTGTCTCCTTCTGAGAGTAAAGATGTGGATTGAAGAAGTAATGGATAAATTGTCAATTAAATCCAGGTACTGTCATTTCTGTGAATGCTGGATGAGTGAATGCAGAGTACCCTCCATCTATGCTGTCTCAGCTATGGTTCTGTGACTTAATTTTATTACTTTCCCTGGCCCCCTTGTGGAACAGAGTCAGCCACTCTCTGAGCTCACTTGGATTCAAGGCTCCTGGAAGCTGCGGGGTTCCGCTGTCCCCCTGCCTGTGCTCCATGAGCCATGTACCATCTTTCCTGAGGCTGTATTAGTGGGCCTGGGCAACTCCATGGCTATTCCTCTTCAACCTGCTCATCCCTGGCCTCAAGCTCCCCTTGTGGTATTCTTCATGATGAAACAAGCTACTGAAAGGAGAAGGTCTGCAGGATTGGCTTAGATTTTATAAACTATAAAGGGAGCAGGAGGCTGAAGTTCCTAGTTCCTCCATGGACTGTATTTGTATTGAAGGTTTGTTTGGATATAAAGGATTTTCACTTCAAAAAATCATAATTTTAGGGTGTGAAGTTCTTAAGAGATTAAATTACTCTCAAGTCCTAATATGATGAGTCACTATTTTGTTGTAAGCTGTTACAACAAAGGCAATTAAGACAAAATAGTTAATGAGTCCATAATGAATGATAAAAAATGCTTAGTGCCCAAAGTTGTGTTTATAATCATGATAAATAGAAACATAATTCATTTACAGATAAAATGTTAGGGGGGAAAATTTCTACCTTCCATTATCCATTCCTCTGTACATGTCATCCAAGGTAAGCCTAAAGCAGGTAATTGAAACAAATTCAAGTTCATCTTTCTTTTCATTAATATGGAATAATGTTAAAATCAGGGGTACTTGAAATAACTGGTTATTTGGCCAGGAATGGTGACACAGCTTTAATCCCAGTACTCAGGAGTAGAGGCAGAAAGATCTTTTTGTGTTTGGTACCAGCTTGGTTTACAAGCCAGTTCCAGAACCAGGGTTATACAGAGAAAATCTGTCTTGAAAAAAAAACAGAACAACAACAACAACAAAAAAAAAAAAAAAAAGAGAGAAAGAGAGAAAGAAAAAAAAGAAAAGAAAAACACAAAACTGGTTATTGAAATTGAATGCTTGAATGGTGAGTAAAAATAGGTAAATCTACACTACACTTGCATGGTAGGACACACCCAGGATCAATTACTATAGTTACCCCCAGCTAGGACATGGACCTATCAGACTAAATGTCGCTCTAGTGTCAACACAGCTTAAGGATGAATGGGGAATAGGAGCTGGCAGTGTCTGTGCTTCTGTCTCCCTCTGGCCTGGAAACCAGACCAGGAAATCCTACTCCTTATCTGTAGGGAAGATGGATCACAACTCATGTCCCACCAGACAGGGGGTGGATTCCCTCATGCTGAGGAGAATCTTAGATTTTTTTTCACCACACTCTGCATGTGTCAATGGAGACACTCATTGCAATTTCTCAGCAGTCCATGTCTCCTGAACTAATAGTTGAGAATACAAGGGGAGCCTTGTACCTATGTCTGCCACCCAACTGGTATGGGAGCTACACTCTAGTTCAAACGGCCATGCCCTGTCCCCTGGCTTTGATTTTCTTCCTCTTACTTAGCAAAGCTAATTCGAGAGCTGAGCTGTCGATGCCTGGTTATGTAAGGAGTCCTCAGCAAAGTGGTCGATAACACATGACAGAGGCTCTGCCACAGGAGGAGGTAAGGCGGACTATGAACGGTCACCCAGAGCATCATTCTGAGTTACCTTCTAGAGACATCTGGGACCAGCTCCTCTGCTGTGGAACAGTCTTTTGGTACAATAAGAATATGTGTTACTCCTATTGTTAATAAAAAACTGATTGTCCGATGGCTAAGCAGGATTTTCTGGGCAGAGTGAGAGGTGTCCCCAGCAGCTGCAGAGAAACAAGATGAATGTACTGTGTTGAAAGAAGGTACCACCAGGAGGCAGAAGGTAGATCAGAAACATGGGCTCATTTGAAATGTAAGAGCTAGCTAAAAATCAGCCTAAGCTATTGGCCACACACTTAATATTAAGCCTGTTCGGCTTCCTATATAGGAAAACTTCACATACAAATGGCATTTCAATGTAATGCACCTGCATCCACATAAGACTTGAGAAAGCTTAAAAAGGTTTTTCAGTACAAAAATGAAAGCAAACACACTTCCAAGACTCATGTCTATATGTGGGTCACAGTACATAAACGCATCTTCTGGCAGCTGTCTGAACAGTTGAGCTGCTACTCCCACCAGAGCTCTGCATGGCAATCTTGGAATTTGGCTCAAGCAGACAGAAAATGTTACAGATACTCAGTAAAGACATAAAGAATCAGATGGAAAAAAGGGACCACAAGATCTCTTCGCCCAACTGGACTCATGGTCATATTAGCCATAATGCTTCCTATAGGGCTAGCCACAGTGGCTACCCTGATCTGACACAAAACATTTTACTAGCTCTGATGTATCTGAGAACGCTGGGTCTATGCATAAAAAGTTATAATTTTTCAAACAAGTTGTGACTAGGAATATATCCAAATAAAGTTAGACCTAATATATGATGAATAGATTAACGTCAAAAAAAAAACTGAAAAAATACATGGAGCCCTACAAATCGCTAAAAGGTTTAAATCGACAAGCTGCTATGAAAGAGAGGCCCACTATCACTGTACCCATACCTCTTTGATGGGTGAGCCTGAACCAAAAACATAAGGCCTTGTAGGTCATCTTGTCCTATTCTTCATAGGTTGAATGGTCAGGACCTACTATACCAACTGGTGGTAAAAGTATTGAAAAGAAACTGTTCATTTTGTGTACCTGATGCTCAATATAACCCCTTCTACAAAATGTTAAGTGTTTGAATCTTCCCTAAGATGAGTGGGGGATGAACTATCCAAAGTGACTCTGGTTTGTCTGAGTTTTATCCACTGCTCCCCATACCCAAATTGTTCTGACCATCAGAACATAAACTCTATAGCCTCTGTCACTGCCTGCCTCTCTGTGACGGAAATGTGGGTTTGGCTCACGTTAGTGTAGCTTTCCCTCCTGGCATGAGTCTTCTGTCAACCTCTGCAAAGAAATGATGAAATGACTCTCAGTCTGACCAGCACTGAGTTCTCTTTCCCTGACTCTTACACTACAGTGGAGACTCAACGAAAAGAAAAATCTTGGAGGTCACTGTTAATACAGGAATAGCTCCCTGATGGGAAAATACAAAACTGAAGAGATAGAACCATCATAAACGTCTGAGAGATGTGCTTTGACAACACAGACATGGAGAGACCTAAAGAATGACTCTCATAGAGTCATGTTTCAAGACACACAGGAAGCCTGCCTTGCTGTGGGATATTTGCACCCCACCTCTGACCCTGACCCCTCATCCTACACACCTGGTTGCACGGTGGCTGCTGCCTGTCTCTCCACTCCTGAAGGCTCTTGTCTTTCTTCCAGAAATGTCACCAGGTGTGGCTTAGGAAGAGCAAGACCTGTTAGTAGAAAAGGGAACAAGATTGGTTGAGTGTTCTACTAGAAATTGACATGTCCCTTCCAGTGCATGGCTCATAAGGAAAGAGATGATGTAATAAACGACTCCAGACAATCGTTTCTGTAAATGTTTTCTGACAGGATCGCCACAAATTTACAACATCCAGATTCTGAGTTTCATGTAAAGGGAGAAAAGTGAATTGTGAATGACTTTCCTTAACAACTATACTCCAAGTCTCATGCCACTGAATTTCTAACAGTCCATCTAGAGTGAAGGAAACATACATCCAACACAGAAAGGTTAAACACAAAAGGAGAAAGAGTGAAATGATTTTTTCTTAATTTCTTTTAATTTTAATGTGCACTAGTGCTTTGCCTGCATGTATATCTGTGTGAGGGTGTCAGATCTTGGAGTAGAGTTAGTTGTAAAAGAAATTAAGAAAAAAATCATTTCACTCTTTCTCCTGGGTGCTAGAATTGAACCCAGGTCCTCTAGAAGGGCAGTCAGTGCTCTTAACCACCAACTTATCTCTCAAGCAACAAAATGATTAATACAGATCTCTTCTTAATTTGTCTGAGAATGAAGGATATGAAACTCATTGTTAAAATGTTCTCATGAGATATAGTACAAAGCGAGTAAGATACATGTTGATGGTGAAATAAGAATTCTCTATGGCTCAGATCCTCACCCAGGAAATCAAGGTTGCTGTAATTCTCCAACATCACATCCCTGTACAGATTCCACTGAGCAGGCTCCAGGTATTCCCTCTCTTCTGGAGAGAACTCAATGGCCACATCCCGGAAGGACAGCATTTCCTGAAACAATGACCAATTTACCATAACACTTTAATTTAATTAAAACAGTAATGATATAAATACCAAGATGCATTGGCCTGAATAGTTCTCCTGTCAACTTGACATTAGCTAGGGTCATTTGAGAAAAGAGGAACATAATAGAGAAATGTCTACCTGAGACTGTCCTGTTCCAAGCCTAGAGGGTAGTTTTTAGTTAGTGATTGGTATGAGAGAGCATAGCTCACTAAAGGTGGTACCCACCCTGGGAAGGCAATTCTATATGGCATAGGAAAGCAGGATGTGCAAGTCAGTTAGCAGTGTTCTTCTGTGGCCTCTGCTCCAGCTCCTGCCTCAGGTTACAGCCTTGACTTCCCTCGGTGATGGACAGTTATCTGAAGTTGTAGTCTATAAAAAACCCTTTCTTCTCCAAGCTGTCTTTCTTCAAGGTCTTTATCACAGCAATAGAAACCCTAACACAGTCATCGTGTGACTGTGGATACAAATCTAGATTTTGCCCATCATGAAAGAGAGATAGAAATGATTTTTGCATAGTTGAGTAATATTCCTCAGACATGTCTGAAGTGGTCACATGATTTCAAACTGAACTCATGTTCAATGAAAGACAAAGAAAAAAATCCTATAAGCCCAGTTGGACAGGATCCAATTAAGACACATGAAGTGTAAAATGAATGCATCCACAGAACATGCATTTAGTGCTATGTCCTCCCATACACCAGAGATGCATACACTTTAGAATTTCATAGTAGTGAACCGTTGGGTCTCAGGTATTTCCTCTCTTAATTCTTATACTGGCAGAGAAAATGAACACAATCCAGACTCAAGACCCTCACACCAGGCAGGCTGGAGTACAGGAGGGGTCAGACACCCCGTTTGCTCTAAGACACTGAGGAATCTGACAGCATCCATGTGAGAAGGGCTCAGCTCGTGAAGCTGCTTCACCACCAAAGCTGCTCAGGGAGCTCCCAGCTCCACCTCAGGAGCAGGTAGTCAGCTGACCATCGTTAGCTTGCAGTCCTGGTCACCTCAGCTGACCATCGTTAGCTTGCAGTCCTGCTCACCTCAGCTGACCATCGTTAGCTTGCAGTCCTGGACCTTGCGATATCATCTACTCCGCGCTCCCCGGCAGCTCTCCTGTCCCAGAAGCCCAAGGATGACTCGGGCTGCCCGTCCTAAGGAAACCATCTCTCAGGGCACAGTCCATCGCCCTCTCCCAGCCCTGACCTGCAACCTCCCGTGTCCCAGCCAGTTCAGCACAGCATCTCCAAGGCAGCTTCTCCGCCCTCGCACCCAGCCCAGGTCCGCCCCCTCCAAGACGGACCTCGCACCCGGAACAGAGCCTCAGGCTGCCCTGCACCCTGGACCAACCTCCAAGTCAGAGACGCAGCAGGGCAGGACTCGCGCCCAACTTGGGGAAGACACAAAGTGTGCAGAACAACAGGATGGCTGGATGGCGGTTTTCTGGACCTCTCTCTGTGACGTCACAGTCGTAGGGACTACACTTCCCAGAAGTCTGAGCGAAGGATCCCTGGAATCCTGCGAGGTGATATTTACTCTTCCTGGACTTGCTTCTGGCTGCCCGCAGTGGAGGATGGGAGGAAGAAATGGAGACGGGTGGACAGCTGTTGGCCTGAGAAAAACCAATTACACGAATGTCTGATTAAAACAAGCTTTATTTTACAGGATCACCAGGAAGTGGCCAGTTGGCTTTCTCTTCCAAAGTCTTTCAGAGAGCCCTCCTCATTGCCTTTTGTGGTCCCTTTTGTTGGAAGAGTTAAGGCTCTTAGAAAACAGCTGTCGAGATAATTGGCTGTGAAAAAGGATGAAATTAAAGAGAGCTGGATTTAATAATCTATCCTGTGGGAGGGGAAACATCAAGCTATCGGGTTAGACATTTTCTTAAGGCAAAGGCGCAATCATCACGGTGTCACAACTAAAGCATTGATTGGGCCATAGTTTGCAGGGTACATTAGGCTTAGGAAAAAGACACTACACTTTTACACTATGTAGATGTAATAACAATTCATAAAAATGTGGTTTCTGAAAAATTTATATACCCCCAAAAGCCTCTGCACTGATGCAGCAATCCAAATCAGCCCAAATATAGTGGTTACAAAGCTCCCAGATGGCCTTCCCATATCCTAGAGAGAAGGGAGAGATCAGAAATGGATTTTCTGGGAGGCAGTTAGAATACCCCGTGGGAGTGGTCTTGAGCATGTCTGGGGGAGGGGTCACCATTAGGTGGGCTTTCTGAGTCAGTAGGGTTTGGAGGAAGATGGGGGGGTGGGCTTGGGTGGAACTTCCATCGTAATATCCCAGGCTTGGGTGGAACTTCCATCGTAATATCCCAGGCTTGGGTGGAACTTCCACTATAACAGTTTCTTAACAATGTGCCTAATGTTTTGATTTTAAACAGCAGTGGGGACTCACATCCTGAGGTGAGGGAGCCAGAAAGGACAGCCTGTGGTGACTCCAGGGGACTCGTGAGTTGGAGCTCCCATGTGACACTGGTGGGGTATTCACCCTGCACTTCTGAACCTTAATCATCCAGTAGCCTAAGCAGCCAGGGAGCCCAGGCCCCAGCTCAGAGTGGCTATGGAGTGTGGGACCACTTTTTCTATGCTGGAGGTCCCCTGAGCTGTGTGCCTCCCCAGTTAGAGAAACTACAGTGGGTCCTAGGGCCAGATCTTTCTAATAGGTCACCAAGTCTGCTTCCTCTAATGGTGATAGGGTATTCCCTTTCCCTGACACTCCTTTGCCCTGTGACTGTGGTCTGCCTTGGTTTCTGTTCCAAAAAAGCCCGGCCTTTTTTTTTTTTCTACTTTTCAAATACACAGAAATAATTACTTTTAGAATATTGCTATTATGACACATATGTGAACAGATACTGTTGAAGCTGGGGTTTGGTGTCCCCACATCAGCCACATGTGTGCATCTCTACAGGTGCTCTAAATCTGTCCTGAGTCAGTCCCCCTGACTCTGAGACAGGGAAAAGGAGATCACTAATAGCCAAAGAAGACTCTGTATGATTAAGAACAGCTAACAGAGCCGGGCGTTGGTGGCGCACGCCTTTAATCCCAGCACTTGGGAGGCAGAGGCAGGTGGATCTCTGTGAGTTCGAGGCCAGCCTCGTCTACAAGAGCTAGTTCCAGGACAGCCTCCAAAGCCACAGAGAAACCCTGTCTTGAAAAAAAAAACAAAAAAACAAAAAAAAAAAAAAACAAAAAAACCCACAGCTAACAGGCGGCCTGAGTGCAGCTGAGACAACCATTGTTTATCTCCTGGAGTAAAGGTGTCCGTAGAAATGCAGATAAAGTTTCCAGTCTTTTTTTCCCAGGTTGGAGTGGTAGTTCAGCCACGCATACATGAGGCCTCAAGTTTACTGTGGCAAAAGTTGTCCAGGGTCCAAACATTTAAAATAGTGCCGACCCTCACAACCATAGCAGAGCAGCCTGCAACCAGCGTTCCCTTCCGGTGACCTCAGAAGTCAGTGCAAGCTGGCTTAGCTGTACAGCCTGTGGTTAGAGCCACAGACTGAAATTAGCCTCTGAGACCACAAGAGCACAGACTATATGTGCTGCAGTGACCACAGGAAGCTCCCAAATCAGCACCTCACACCCATAATGACCTCACACCACTGGAACCAGGATTGTAGGCTCTGCACTGTCCCCACCATATCAGTTCCGGTACCATATGGGATCCTCATACCTTACTACAGAGATATTTGTATCCTATGTTTGTTGCTTCTTTATTCTAAATTATAAAGAAGCCCAATCAACATAAATGTCTATCAACATACTAATGGAAAAGCAAATAAATATAAATGTATGTTTATTTAACACACACATGTAGAAACATATATACAGTGTAACAAAATAACATTAAATTTGTATCAATATAATATATTCCCCTAAATGTAACAAACATCTATGACCCACCAAATAACCAAAGACCATCTACAACCCCAAAATCTTGGGAATGTGGACCTTGTTTTCTCCACAATGTTTCCTGATGTCAGTGGATAAAATATCTTTAGGGTCCCAGAGAGAAAATTTGAGATGATGGCCACGTCCTGGAAAGACCCAGTACAATCTCTGTTCTCAGATAGCACCTGTCAAGATTCAGGACGTCTTGCCTGATCAAACCTGATCCCTATGAACCCTGAAGGAATCCACAGCCTCTCATCGCCGGTGGGAACACAACTCCAAAACATTTTTTATTTCTACTTAGGAAAAAAATATATATATATATATTTCTTTTAAAAATTAAGATAGCCCTAAAGGATCTTGGTTGGTAAATTTTGCAGTCCAGTTCACAATACTATGTCTGTTAGCAGCTATTGTTTGCTTCTCTACAATAAAAAAAAATATATATATATATACATATATATATATATATATATATATATAATTAGCACACTAACCCACAGGATCCAAACTCCCTGTGGGTTTTCCTTCTTATGTGGCTTTTGTATTACTTTGTGTTTGTCTTTAAAAACCTTATTTTTTAGAATTCTTTCTGTGACTATCTATACCCATTTTCTTTCTGTCAAGCCTACACCATTGTTTTCCCGTCTGGACCTCTTTTATTGCATATCTTTTAGCATTTCTGACCTCATGAACTAACCATAAACTGCTAAGTGGTATGAATGAGGCTTTGGCAGCTGCCTCCATCACTTCTAAAACTGTGAAACTGAAGCCTGAAGCTCGAAGTATGGTTGGGGCTTTATGACTAAGAACTGTACTCAACCTTCTTAGAGTTCTAGAATGCCGATGTTTGCAGGGTGGCAGGCATTCTTAGATTTTATTCCTATTTTACATATTTGGATGGCCAGTAGGCAGAAACCCTTAACAGGAGCCCTATAAATATTTTTTTTTCAAGTTTACTCAGGCCCTATGGAAATTCAAGGCCCATGCTGATACACCAAAATGTTGTCAGTTGCTTTACTCTTTGGTGGGCCTGCCACCGAACTCCCAAGTCTTATTATTTTCTTAATTATAAATGTTTGGCCTTAGCGTGGATTGTTCTTGCCAGTTTGCTTAATTAATACCATCTATCTTTTGCTTCTGGGCCTTTTCTTTTCTTACTCCTATAATCTTACTTTCACTCTTAGCCCATGGCTGGCTGTGTAGCATGGTGGCTGGCCCCTGATAACCCTGCTCATTTCCTGATGCTGTGCAATACTACTTTAACTGTAAAGATGCATTGCACTAATGTCTGCTGCCTTTGTTAATGGCGTGAAGATTTAAAGATATGTTGCATTTGTTTCATCTTGCCTAAGGCACCTGATAGGCCTAATAAAAAGCTGAATGGCCAATAGCTAGGCAGCAGAGGGCTTATCACCTAGCCAGGCAGAAGTATACCACCAAATTAATACCCCATCAGTTAACGTTTTCGGGATAAGCTTTAAATTCAGTCAGAAAAAGACTGATTACTCTTATAACTTTCCTCCCATCATTGCATTGCAGACACTTGTTTTTTATCTGAGCCACAGCGGGTGCACCTGATACTCTCACTGCCTCATCTGAGGACTGGGCCTCTGCAGCTGCTTCTGCTGCCTTGCTCCCAAGGCCTTAGACCTGAGGAATCTTCAGGTTGGGTTAACTAAGGTCTATCTTTTTATTTTACCAATAAGAATTTAGGAGCCAGATGCTGGGTGAAAACCTGCTACCTCGGAGACAGACCTTCCTACACACCAGGGGAGATATTCCAGAAGCACGAATGACTCTACTGGGGAAAACAACAGGAACTATGCCACAGCCCAGATTCCAGATTCGAGACAAACAATGGACATAGTTATGACACAATAACAGTTTCATGGAACATTTACAGTTACAGAAGAAAGAGAGTCACTAATCAAGACATGTTCCAAACACAGGGGATACTTCAAAGAGAAGTCATTCATACCAACAGGCTTTGTGACACTCCTCACACTTGCATGGTTTCTCTCCAGTATGAACTATACGATGTCCTCTAAGAGATGACCATGAGTGAAAACACCTGCCACACTCTTCTCACGTCTAAGGATTGTCTTTACAGTGAATTCTTTGATGTTTTCTGAGGGATGAAGATGAGTAAAAACACTTGCCACACTCTTCACCCGCGTAGGCTTGCTCTGCAGAATGAGCTGTATTGTTCTCAATGAGAGTAGGCTTAGGAAATCCCTTTATATTCAGTTTACACTTGTAGAGTTTCTCTCCACTATGAGTTGCCTTGTGGTCCTTAAGGCTTGCTGGATAACGAAAGGATTTGCCACACTCTTCACACTTGTAGGGTTTCTCTCTAGAATGAATTCTTTGATGTTGCTTCAGCATTGAAGGATAGTAATATAATTTGCCACATTCTTCACACATGTATGTTTTTTCATTAGTATGATCTTTCTCGTGTACAAAAAGTGATGCGCGTGTATTGAAGGCCTTAGGACATTCCTTACATTTGTAGGGTTGTTCTCCACTATGAAGTCTCTGGTGTATAGAAAGTGTTTTTGAAGAACTAAGGGCCTTACCACATTCTTTGCACTTGTATGGTTTCTCCGTTGTATAAATTTTCCGCGATCGAAAACTTAATGAGATACAATCAATGTCCTTGTTGTAAACATTATAATTATCGGTTGTTGTTTCTGTTGAGCAAAAGTTGAGATATGAACAAAAGTTAGGAAATATTCTGCATACTTAATCTTTTAAAAAGGAAAGATTTACTTATGTGTATTGATGCATCAGTGAGAAACTAAAGTACATTTCAAACCCTATAGGCACTAAGCATAATTGATAAAATATTGTAGGTAGAAATAATATATAATTCTACTAGAATAAGGCCACAGCTAAATAGAACATAGACACAATGACATATTATTAGAAATTTAATAGCTGAGTAGGTTGAAAGGGCACTTGACTGACAGAAATATTGCATAATAGAGATGTTATACAACTGGATGTGCAGGAAATTATAAAAAGAGAAAGTTAATTGTGACTTTCTGAATTCATCTCTTTTTCTTTTCTTTTCTTTTTTTTTTTTTTTTTTTTTTTTTTTTTGAGACAGGGTTTCTCTGTAGGTTTGGAGACTGTCCTGGGACTCTTTTGAAGACCAGGCTGGCCTCGAACTCACAGAGATCTGCCTGCCTCTGCCTCTCGAGGGCTGGGATTAAAAGCAGCTCTGGCTGGGCGTTGGTGGCACACGCCTTTAATCCTAGCACTCGGGTGGCAGAGACAGGCAGATCTTTGTGAGTTCGAGACCAGCTTGGTCTATAAGAGCTAGTTCCAGGACAGCCTCCAAATCCATAGAGAAACCCTGTCTTGAAACCCCCCCAAAAAAAAGGCAGCTCTGAATTTCAACCATCATCTAAATAAAAACATTTTATCCTCCATACAGAGTTTTATTTCAGAAGGTTCAGAAGGTATCCTTTATTTCAAAGGATATGCTGCACAAGAAGTAGATGGTCTAAACAGCATAGCTCAAATATTCAGGACAGTATCTTACATTTTTGAGTACAAAAAAATATACACCTGAAACACATTTAAGAAAAAACAACCAACATCTTCAGGTTCACTTGTGCATTGCACAAATTTTGCTGAGACAACATATTTGTCACTGAGTAGATGAAAAAGTGACATTTCCTTTGTTGTTTGTTTTTGCTTTTTTAAGACAAGGTTTCTTGTGTAGATCTTGCTATCCTGGAATTCACTATCTAAACCAGGTTGGCCTCAAGCATAGAGATCCACCTACTTCTGCTTCCCAAGTGCTGTGATCAGTGAAATAGTCTACCATGCCTAGACAATGAAATTATATATTTCTAAGACTAAACAGATATTAAATACTAAGTAGAGGGACATGAAAACAAGAAACTTCTGTGGACCCATGAAGTAAACATTCACATAGAATAGCTCATATTTTGTAATCTTACACTGTTCTTATATACTTTATCAATGTATTCTATCCATCCACCAGAATACATAGGGAATGTAAAATAAACGATTATAGGTTATACAGACCTCCAAAATAATATCAAATTTCCAAAGAAAAAGATTTTGAACACATGGAATTTTCAGAACATAGTGATCTAAGTTCTACTTTAACTGTAAAGATGCATTTAATTGTTATAGCTTTAATCTTTGAATATACATGCACACAAAAGGCATGAATTTTAAATCCTCATTACTGAGTCTCTAATAAAGAAAAACCTTAAAGATATCTTCATCAAGATAAATAACTGTGCTGGGGTCAGCATGAGTGAAAATGGCACAAAAGAAAAGAAATTCATGCGTGAATTCAGTTTCTTCCAAAGGTTTCACACCTAGTTATGTAGAAATGTGTGAAATTTTTCAGATGTGTAGGAAATACTAGAGTCTGTTATTGAACTACCCCCAAATAACTCTAATTGTTTGAGTTTTATTCAACTGATCCATCTATACAATGCCGCTGAGAAAATGTTCTCACACATATTCACTGGCAACTTTGGAAGAGCCACTGGCTTACAACAAAATAAATTGTTTGAATCAATGGAACTAACTCCTTCAGATTTTAAATCCCAGACTTGTTTGTATACGGTATAATGTAATTGTGAACTTGGCTTTCTAAACACAATTAAACTAGGGCTAGAGAGTGCTGGAATGACCAACGCATTTCCTGATACAAAACCCAACCTTGTCCTTCTGGACCTCCAAAGGGTTGGTGTGCCTATTTTTGTGGACTAGACAAATAAATGAAACCAGAAAAATAAAACCTGACAGGGACTCCTTCCCTGTGTTTCCTTCTAAGAGTAAAGATGTTGATTGAAGAGCAAAATTTTCAGTTAAACTCACATCCTACATTATTCCTGCGTATGCTGAATGAGTGACTACATATTCCACACCATCTCTTCTCTCTCTGATATTGTTCTGTGCCTTACATTTGATCACTTTCCCTGGAACTCCTTGTCAGGGAACTATCAATCACTGGTCATTAATATTTCTTAATTAGTTTCAATTAACCTATAAAAAGACCCTGGCTAACAGAATGGATATGAGAACAGGATCCATCCTTCTGCTGCATACAAGAAACATATCTCAAAGACTGACATTACCTCAGAGGAAATGGTTGGAAAAGATTTTCCAATCAAATGAACCTAAGAAACAAGTTGGTGTAGCTATTCTAATATCTAACAAAATAGACTTGAAAGTAAAATTAAAGAGATCAATAAGGACATTTCATGTTTATCACAGGAAAAATCCATCAAGATGAAGTATCAATTCTGAATACCTAAAGTCCCAAATACAAGGGCACCCACATTCATTGTGGGGCCCTGTCATTCATTTGGAGACCTCAATGGTAGCTGTTAAAAAAGGTTATTTTTCACTGTAAGTAGCTTAAACATTTTAAATGTCATATACAGCAGATCTCACAGAGGTTAAAGAACCATATTTTTTTTCTGTACATCTAGAGTACAAAAACTTAATTCCTAGTTACCTGATAGAGACTCAATCCTAAAATCACATACAGGAAACTAGATGAAGCATTTTTCTAGAATTAGTAGTCTATTTGGTCATTAATATTATGACAAAAGTTTAATAGATATGTATATATCTTATACATTGTGAGATAATACTTACACCTTAAGAAAAGTGTTAAAGACTCAAAATAAAACCAAAGGATTGATGGGCTGTGGTGGTGCACGCCTTTAATCCCAGCACTTGGGAGGAAGAGACAGGTGGATCTCTGTGAGTTTGAGACCAGCCTGATACAGGAAATCTTACCTATTTTCCCTTGCCAGGTGCAATCCATGTAAGTCTCTGAGCTTCTCTGGGGATATGGACTGTAGGCTGGCTATTCTTTGTTTTATGTCTGATATCTACTTATGAGTGAAGATATACAGTGTCTATCTGGGTATGGATTACCTCACTCAGGGTGTATTTTTCTAGATCAATTCATTGGCCTGCAAATGTCAAGATGTCATTTTTTTTAACCACTGAGCAGTACTCCATTATGTAAATGTAACACATTTTCCTTATCCATTCTTCAGTTGAGAGGCATGTACCTTGCTTCCAGGTTCTAGCTACTACAAATAATGCTGCTATGAACACAGTTGTGCAAATGTCCCTTGTGGTATGAGTGTGCATCCTTTGGGTATATGCCCAGGAGTGGTATTGCTGGGTCTTGAGGTAGACTGAGTTCCAATTTTCTGAGAAATCGACATACCGATTTCCACAGCAGTTGTACAAGTTTGTATCCCACCAACAATGAAGGAATGCTCCCCTTTCTCCATATCCTCTCCAGCATAAGCTATCATCAGTGCTTTTGATAACAGCAACAGGTGTAAGATGGTATCTCAAAGTTGTTCTGCATTTCCCTGATGACTAAGGATGTTGGGCAATTCCTTATGTGTCTTTCTGCCATTTGCCTTCTTGTACATATTGACAGAAGGTCCTGGATAGACATTCTGGTTCTGCAGACACTAAGGGACCAAGGAAGCTAACCAAGACTACTATATCCAGAAAAGCTTTCAATCACTGTATATGGAGAAAGCAAGATATTCCAAGACAAAACCAGATTTAAGCAATACCTATCCACAAATCCAACCCTACAGAAAGTACTATGGCAATGCCACTAAGCTGACAAACACCACCTTTGGAATACAAATTGTCTGAACAATTTCAAGATGGCTAGTTGAGATGTTCCAGCCTTACAGCCTACTCTAGCCAGGACTTGGGATAATTCCTGAATTTTCCTATTATGTTCAAACTGGACAACAAATTATACATCTAGCTCACCCAGGACTTGGTAATCATCCCAATTATTTCTCAGGCTCCCATAAAGAAGCCATCATCCCCAGACAGAAGGAAGTAGATTTAAGAACATGATGCCCACATCCCCAAGAGGTGGGGTGGGTGGCCTTTGTCATTCAATGGGTTATGAATACTTGTCCTCAATTACGGTGGTTGCTTACAAGTTGTTATTGGTAATGGTCAGGAAAAAAGCTGAACAAAGGAGATTAAATGCAGGGGTCTTTTTTTGAAAAGAAAAAGAGGAATACTGATACGATAGGAGAAAGGTTAGATTATTGAATCTATTCTCAAAAGAAAAGGGAAGTACAGACATGATAGGATAGAGAGGCACATTTTGAATCTACTTTTAAACCAAAAAGCAACTATTCATTTAACATTGGTTTAGATTATGGATATTGATGAAAATTTGAGGTTATTTCTGTTAGAGCATACTGTACATATACTTCTATTCTTGTTCAAGGTATTGTACCTAGGCAACTCATTTAACAATGTAATGAAAATTTCTAGTCCTTGAAATTTATTATTACAAACTGTTTAGGATAAAGAAATGCAAGGTTGGTAATTAGTCACCTATTATAATCAACTTGTACTCATGTTAGTTATGTTTTTTTGTTTGTTTTGTTTTGAGACAGGGTTTCTCTGTGGCTTTGGAGCTGTCCTGGAACTAGCTCTTGTAGACCAGGCTAGTCTCAAATTCACAAAGATCCATCTGCCTCAACCTCCTGAGTGCTGGGATTAAAGGCATGCACCACCACCGCCTAGCATTAGCTATGTTTTCAAGGTCAACTAGAGATGTATTTTAGAAAGGTCATCTTCAAACACTTTGGAGATCTACAGAATATGGCATTTAAGAAGTTTAATAAATAGGTTCTTTTTTATGGCAATGACATATGTGTGCTCTGGCAGCACAGTCTATGTGAAGAGAAGATGATGGGCATAAAAGAAACTCTATATCAAGTCTACTTTCTGTGTAGCAAAAGTTAGCCATTGGGCAATAAAGTACCCTTATCTCAACTGCTGACAGTATGCTGTTCAAATCGAACAAGCAGTACACAAAAGAAAGAACTGCCAATTTTTGCCAAGACAACGTAGGAGAGCCCTTGAGAATATCCTGCTTCACAGAAAAGTCTGTCAGATATGCTAGGCCTGTAGGTCAAAGAAGGGTGCCCCAATGTTGCAGAGGAACCTTGGGTGACTGTCGAGGTAGCCAGCTGTTTTTGACATGTCTCACATTTTTAGAAAATTCCTTGTTTGTACTTCCTACTTAATCAAGTAATATTATTTCCAACTTAGATCTCTGGCGGGGTTGAAGACTTTATAGCTATAGTTTTCCTTGATATCACATTCAGAAAATAAATTCACTACAAAGGTGTAAATTCACTACAAAGGTGTAAAGTGTATAGAGTTAAGAGACATTAAAAGACAGTTTTGGTAATGCAAGTTAGAATAGAAATTGGACTAGGCACATCATTTTGGATTCACCATGATAGGACAGATAATGGAGTATTTTCCCTGAATTTCTCTAGACAATGGTGATGTAATTATTTCCTGTATATATTGTACATATTTATTGTACTTAATGTATATAGGCTTTCTTATATTAGTAATAACCGCTTTTTTATTTTATTCAACAGGGTGAACTATGGTGATACTTTGTGTGTGCTGTGACAGATCAAACTGGCCTAGAGATGAGAGGGCAGAGGTAGCCAGTAGTTAACAAGAGACCAGTCAGTGGTGGAACACAGATTTATTCCCAGATCTTGGAAAAACGAAACAGGAAGTGATATTGCTGCACAGAGAGAGGAAGCAATAAAGTGGGTAGAGACAGGAGTCTGGCCCTCTTCGGCTTGAGAATTTGTTACAAGTAGGAAGACTCTCCAGTGGCTGGCTCCTTTACTTCTCTGATCTTGCAGCATTTACTTCAATATCTGACTCCAGGTTTAATTTTTATTAGGACCAATTAGAATTCACACTATATTCCTTTGTCTCAATGGATGACAGTAATTGTCCAAACTGGACCAACAGGACACAAAATAAAGTGACTGCCCAACTTTGCCAAGATAAGTTAGAAGAGTCCTTCAAAATGCCCTGCGTCTCAAAAATGTCTGTCAGATATTCTAGATATTTAGGCCAAAGATGGATGCCCCAATGTGACAAAAAAACTTTCAGTGAGTGACTGTCCATGCAGCCAGATATCCCTGTTGTACATTTCAGCCTTCTTGGATCTTTCATAGGGTTAAAGACTAAATAATTAGACTTAAAGCTTTCCTTAGTTATGATAAAAGGTAAATTCGATATAAAACTTTTTTGACTCACAAAGATCAAACAGATAATGAGATATTTTCTTTACATTTACCAAATATAAAGGAACTAAGCCAGGCGTTGGTGGCGCACGCCTTTAATCCCAGCACTCGGGAGGCAGAGGCAGGCGGATCTCTGTGAGTTCGAGACCAGCCTGGACTACCAAGCGAGTTCCAGGACAGCCTCCAAAGCCACAGAGAAACCCTGTCTCGGAAAAAAAAAAAGGAACTATTGTTAAATGTAATACTTACTTGGCAATTGTTTTTGTTATACTTTTACTATGTTAAAATTAAAACCTTCCTTTGTAATTAGACAAAAAAAACCAGGAAATGCTGTGGACTAATCCTTCTGCACACTGTGAAAATATGTTGCTTGCACTATTAATGAAAAGATGATTGGCCCGTGGCAGGATTTTTGGGACAGAAAGAATGCTGGGAAGAGGAAGGGCAGAGCCAGAAGGGTCACCAGGATGCAGAGGAGATAGAGATAAACATGTCATCAGTGGAAAAGATATTGCCACATGGCAGAATATAAGATACATGAGTTAATGTAAATGCTAGTGAGTATTAAGTTGTAGCTATTAGCTGAAAGCTTATAATTAATATTAAGTCTCGAGTGGTTATTTGGGAGTGGTTGGTGGGAGAAAACTTATCATGGTCCAAACGAAAAAATTAGCCTACATTACTCAGTGCTACTCCCATGACAAATCTGGAGGCCAATGAAAATATACACTTGGAGGAAGTTTGAAAGTGAACAAGATGAGCCGGGCGTTGGTGGCGCACGCCTTTAATCCCAGCATTCGGGAGGCAGAGGCAGGCAGATCTCTGTCAGTTCCAGGCCAGCCTGGTCTACAAGAGCGAGGTCCAGGACAGCCTCCAAAACAATACAGAGAAACCCTGTCTCGGAAAAAAAAAATGAACAAGACCCCTTCAGAAGGGTACACAAGATCTCTTCATGCAATTAGACTCCTAGTAATATTAGCCATATTTCTTCATACTAGGCTAGCCAAACTGGCTACCCTGACTGGGTCTGAATAACATTTTACTATCTCTGATGTATCTGAGAAAATAAAAGTTTATACTTTCTTTTATAAGGTGTGACTGGCTATACGTATGTTAAATACACTGACTTGAAAAAAAACAAGACAAAACAAAACCCTCCAAAAATATGAGCCTTACAACTTACTAAAAGATCTAACTCTACTAACAGCCATGAAAGAGAGGCCCACAATCACGGTACCCAGTCTGGTTTGATGGGCAACCCTGAATCAACAGCAGAGGACCTTGTTGGTCATCCTGTCCTACTCTTCCTAGGTAAAATGGACAGGCCCAGCTGAACTGACTGGTGGTAAAAGTGTTGAAAAAGGAAACAGCATCCATTAAATTAGTGTAGTGTACCCAATGTCCCAACACAATCCCTTCTACAATATGTTAATGCTTGGAATCTTCCCTAAGATCAGTGGGGAATGAACTATCCAAAGTGACTCCAGTTTATCTGAGTTTCATCCAACAGCTCTCCACCCCCAAATTGTTCTGATCATCAGAACAAAATCTGTTGAGCCTCTGTCAAGCCTGGGTTTGTGTGATGCAATTGTGGGTTTGGCTTTATGAACCCAACCATACTCACTTTGGTGTAGAGATCCTTCTGGCACAAGTCTGCTGTCAACCTCTGCAAAGAAATGATGAAATGACTCTCAGTCTGACCAGCACTGAGTTCTCTTTCCCTGTGTCTTACACTACAGTGGAGACTCAACAAAAAAAGAAACCTTGGAGGTCACTGTTAATAGAAGCACAGCTCACTGTTGGGGCAATACAAAGCTGAAGAGACTTAAACAATCATAGATGTATAGAGATGTGCTTTGACAACACAGACATGAAAAGAGACCTAAAGAATGATTCCCATAGAATCATGTTTCAAGATACACAGGAAGCCTGACTTTCTGTGGGATATTTGCACCCCACCTCTGACCCTGACCCCTCATCCTACACACCTGGGTGCACGGTGGCTGCTGCCTGTCTCTCCACTCCTGAAGGCTCTTGTCTTTCTTCCAGAAATGTCACCAGGTGTGGCTTACGGACAGCAAGACCTGTTAGTAGAAAAGGGAACAAGATTGGTTGAGTGTTCTATGTCCCTTCCAGTGCATGGCTCATAAGGAAAGAAATGATGTAATAAACGACTCCAGACAGTCAGTTCTGTAAAGATTTTCTGACAAGATCACTACAGTACATAAAGAAATTTTCAACATCCAGATTCTGAGTTTCATCTAAAGGGAAAAATCATGAAAACTGAATTATAAAAGACTTTCATTAACAACTGTACTCCAAGTGTAATGTCACTGAATTTCAAACAGTCCAACTAGAGTGAAGGAAACATACACAGAAAGGTTAACACAAAATGAGAAAAAGAGTGAAATGATTTTTTTTGTTTTTTTTTTTGTTTTTGTTTTTGTTTTTCGAGACAGGGTTTCTCTGTATCGTTTTGGAGGCTGTCCTGGAACTCACTCTGTAGACCAGGCTGGCCTCAAACTCACAGAGATCCGCCTGCCTCTGCCTCCCAAGTGCTGGGATTAAAGGCGTGTGCCACCAACACCTGGCTGAGTGAAATGATTTCATTTCCTAATTTATTTTGAATTTTTATGTGCATTGGTGCTTTGCCTGCGTGTATGTCTGTGTCAGGGTGTCGGATTTTGGAATACAGATAGTTGAAAGATTCCATGTGGGTATTTGAACCCAGGTCCTCTAGAAGAGCAGTCAGTGCTCTGAACCACTGAGTTATCTCTCCAGCACCAAAATGATTAATATAGAACTCTTCCAAATTTGTCTCAGAATGAAGGATATGAAATTGACTGTTGAAATGTTCCCATGAGATATAGTACAAAGCGAGTGAGATACATGTTGATGGTGAAATAAGAATTCTCTATGGATGAGATTCTCACCCAGGAAATCAAGGTTGCTGTAATTCTCCAACATCACATCCCTGTACAGATTCCACTGAGCAGGATCCAGGTATTTCCTCTCTTCTGGAGAGAACTCAATGGCCACGTCCCAGAAGGACAGCATTTCCTGAAATAAAGATCAGTGGAGGATAAACACACTTTAATTTAATTAAAGTCATAAATAATATAAATACCAAGATGCATTGGCCTGAATAGTTCTCCTGTCAACTTGACATTAGCTAGGGTCATTTGAGAAAAGAGAAACATAATAGAGAAAATGTCTACCTGAGACTGTCCTGTTCCAAGCCTAGAGGGTATTTTTTAGTTAGTGATTGGTATGAGAGAGCATAGCTCACTAAAGGTGGTACCCACCCTGGGAAGGCAATTCTATATGGCATAGGAAAGCAGGCTGTGCAAGTCATCAGCAGTGTTCTTCTGTGGCCTCTGCTCCAGCTCCTGCCTCAGGTTACAGCCTTGACTTCCCTCGGTGATGGACAGGTACCTGAAGTTGTAGTCTACAAAAAACCCTTTCTTCTCCAAGCTGTCTTTCTTCAAGGTCTTTATCACAGCAATAGAAACCCTAACACAGTCATTGTGTGACTGTGGATACAAATCTAGATTTTGCCCATCATGAAAGAGAGATAGAAATGCTTTTTGCATAGTTGACTAATATTCCTCAGACATGTCTGAAGTGGTTACATGATTTCAAACTGAACTCGTGTTCAATGAAAGACAAAGAAAAAAATCCTATAAGCCCAGTTGGACAGGATCCAATTAAGACACAAGAAGTGTAAAATGAATGCATCCACAGAACATGCATTTAGTGCTATGTGCTCCCATACACCACTGATGCATACACTTTAGAATTTCATAGTTGTGAACCGTTGGGTCTCAGGTATTTCCTCTCTTAATTCTTATACTGGCAGAGAAAACGAACACAATCCAGACTCAAGACCCTTACACCAGGCAGGCTGGAGTACAGGAGGGGTCAGACACCCCGTTTGCTCTAAGACACTGAGAATCTGACAGCATCCATGTGAGAAGGGCTCAGCTCATGAAGCTGCTTCCCCACCAAAGCTGCTCAGGGAGCTTCCAGTTCCACCTCAGGAGCAGGTAGTCAGCTGACCATCGTTAGCTTGCAGTCCTGGTCACCTCAGCTGACCATCGTTAGCTTGCAGTCCTGCTCACCTCAGCTGACCATCGTTAGCTTGCAGTCCTGGACCTTGCGCTATCGTCTACTCCGCGCTCCCCGGCAGCTCTCCTGTCCCAGAAGCCCAAGGCGGACTCGGGCTGCCCGTCCTAAGGAAACCATCTCTCAGGGCACAGTCCCATCGCCCTCTCCCAGCCCTGACCTGCAACCTCCCGCGTCCCAGCCAGTTCAGCACAGCACCTCCAAGGCAGCTTCTCCGCCCTCGCACCCAGCCCAGGTCCGCCCCCTCCAAGACGGACCGCACCCCGCACGGAGCCTCAGGCTGCGCTGCACCCTGGACCAACCTCCAAGTCAAAGACTCAACACGAATTACAGCAGGGCAGGACTCGCGCCCAACTTTGGGGAAGACCCACGTGGGTAGACCAAAGCCGGAAAAGGCTTTCCTGGACAGCTCTCAGTGATGTCACAGTCGCGTGGACTACATTTCCCAGAAGTCCGAGCGAAGGAATGCCTGGACTCCTGCATGGTGATATTTACTCTTCCTGGTCTTGTGTCTGGCTGCCTGCAGTAGAGGGTGAGAGAAAGAAACAGTGGGCTGTGTGGGGAACAGATCCTCACCCAAGCACTTGTTTTGTCTTGCATGACAGGGTGCAGAAAAGACCCAGCAAAATGTAGCCTCTATCTCAGTGCGTGTTGCTGAGTTTCTGGCCTTCTGGCCTTGCAGGAGCTGCCCTAGTCAAGACTACCGGTGGCCAGGAACCAATCAGAAGTTAGCTGGTGGACTCTAGCCTTGCTTTCCGGTGCTTTTACAGCAAAGGTGGCTAATGGAGACATGAGGAGCATAGCAACTGCCCTGGGAGGGCCTATAGGCCCTAACAACCCATTGACCAATCAACACTGAACAGGTTGCCAAGCCCTGAAGAGACCAGTCTGGAAGCTGTTGCCTACCCCTAGACACTCCCCTTCCTCTTCCCAATAAATTCCCTGCCTTGAGGGCCCTAGGGTTCCTTCTCACTCTACCACCGGAACGGACAGGGGCCCCAGTTAAATCGTTAATAATAAACGACTCATTGCTTTTGTATCAGGATATGTCTGTTGGTGATTTGGGGATTCAGAATTTGGGCACAACAGGCTGGACATCCGTTGGCCTGAGAAAAACCAATGGCACGAATTTTTGATTAAAGCAAGCTTTATTTTACAGGAGAAACAGGAAGTGATCAGTTGGCTTCTCCCCACATCCGATATTTCAGAGTGCAACCCCTCATTGCCTTTTGTGGTCCCTTTTGGTGGAAGAGTTAGGGTTCATAGAAAACAGCTGCCAAGATAATTGACTGTGAGAAAGGATGAAATTAAAGAGAGCTGGATTTAATAATTCATCCTGTGGGAGGGGAAACATCAAGCTATTGGGTAAAACATTTTCTTAAGGCAAAAGCACAGTCATCACAGATTTTTATAAGGCACGCAGTGACTATACATCATGGGGTTCCAACTTCAGCATTGACTAAAATAGGGTTTGGAGGGAAATAGGGGAAGAGGGGCTTGGGTGGAACTTCCATCATAGCATTCCAGACTCTCTGGGTTTATGGTTGCCAGGGGCTGGGGTGAAGCTTCCACCATAATAGTTTCTTAACAACAATGTATCTACTGTTTTGATTTTAGACAGCAATGGGGACTCAGTCTGGTGTTCACTTCTACATCCACAGCATGTTATGTGTGCATATGAGTCAAGACTTTGACATAAATATTAGGGTTAGAGATCATTTCTGGTCCATATGTTCTGATTAAATCTTACTATAGCATTAAAAATCACATTAAACCGGTGGTGGCGACACACACTTTTAATCCCAGCACTCAGGAGGCAGAGGCAGGTGGATCTCTGTGAGTTAGAGACCAGCCTGGTCTGCAACAGCTAGTTCCAGGGCAGCCTCCAAAGTCACAGAGAAACCCTGTCTTGAAAAATCAAAAACAACAACAACAAATCACATTAAATAAGCTGTACTTTAAAATGAGAAAGGAATACTGTGTGGAGCAATCTTTTTGTACACTGTGAAGATCTGCCATTGCCAAGGCAACTTCTGATTGGTTTAATACAACTGAATACCCAATAGACAGGCAGGAGAAGATAGGTGGGGATTCCAGGGAGGGAGCAGAAGAGATGAATCTAGCTACACGGAGATGCCAGCTACAGGTAGACTGAATTAGGCATGCAGGATGGTAGGGAGGTTAAAAAGAAAAAAAATAATCCATGTGGGAGGTTGTAGATTAATAAAGGCAGATTAAATAGAATTGTAAGTGATGGCTGGGGAAAAGCCCAAGGTAAAGGCCATGCATTCATAAATACTAAGAAGTCTTGCTGAACCTGTTCCCCGAGGCTGGATTAACTTGCCCAGCATTTTTGTAGGGGAAGGAGCTGGTCTTAACATAATTTATGTGTCATGCTTTATTCAAGCCCATGGGAGGCCTGCACCTTTCTGGAGACAGAGGAGTAGATGAAAAGGGGGATAGGTGGGGGCCGGGGTTCCTGAAGGGAGAGGAGGGGAAAATGTGGTTCGTATGTAAAGCATATGAAAAAATTATTAAGTAAAATTAAATTTGAAAAAAGAATTCTCCCTGTCATTATATGTGCGCTGGTGGTCCAGAAAAATAATACTTACACAATTCACTAACATGGAAATGAGAAGTGTCTTCTTAAAAATAATGTATTTATTCTTTTAAATTTCATTTTACATTCCACCCATAGTTCTCTCTCCCATTGTAGTCTCATAAACAGAGTTTGTAAAGTTCCATCTGTTTTATTTATTGTGTGGAACAATTTGAGGAGTACAGAAGTCAGCTCTTCATGGAAATTCTGGTACAATTCTCCTTTGAAGCAACCTGGTCCTAAGCATTTATTTTTTGGTTGGGAGACTTTTAATGACTGCTTCTATTCCCTTAGGGGTTATAGGACTATTTAAATTCTTCATCTGGTCTGATTTAATTTCTTTTAAATTTTCTAATTTTGTGGAATACAGCTTTTTGAAGTATGAGCTCATGATTCTCCGGAATTCCTCAGTGTCTGTTGTTATGTCACCCTTTTTGTTTCTGATTATATTAACTTGGATATTCTTTCTCTGCCTTTTGGTTAATTTGGATAAGGGTTTGTCTATCTTTTTTATTTTCTTAAAGAGCCAACTCTTTGTTTCATTGATTGTTCCTATTGTTGTCTTCATTTCTACTTTATTGATTTCAGCCCTCAATTTGATTATTTCTTGTCATCTACTCCTTCTGGATAAGTTTGTTTCTTTTTGTTATAGAGATATCAGGTGGCCTGTTAATTCCCTAGTGTGGGATTTCCCCAACTTCTTTATGTAGGTATTTAGTGCTATGAAATTTCCTCTTAGCTCTGCTTTCATAATGTCCCATAAGTTTGGGCATGTTGTACATTCATCTTAATTGAACTCTATAAAATCTTTCATTTCTTTATTACTTCCTTGACCCAGGGGTTATTCAGGTGAGGAGTAAGTAGTTTCCATGAGTTTTTAGGCTTTCTAGAATTTGTGTTATTGTTGAACTCTAACTTTAATGCATGGTGATACAATAAGATACAGGGAGTTATTGTAATTTTTGTGTCTGTTGATATTTGCTTTGTGACCATGCATATGGTCATTTTTGTTGGGGGTTCCATGGGGTGCTGAGAGGAAGTTATCTTCTTTTGTGTTTGGGTGGAATGTTCTATAGATATCTGTTAAGCTCATTTGAGTGGTAACCTCTGTTCTATCACTTATTTCTCTGTTAATTTTGTGTCTGGCAGTCCTGTGCACTGATGAGAGTGGGGTGTTGAAGTCTCCCACTGTCAGTGTGTGGAGTTTGATGTACGATACAAGCTTTAGTAATATGTCTTTCATGCATGTGGTTGTCATTGTCTGTGGGGCATATATGCTCAGGATTGAGACTTCATCTTGGTGGATTTTTCCTGTGATGAATAGGAATTGTGTCCTTTACCATCTCCTTTGATTACCTTTAGTTTGAAGTCTATTTTGTTACATATTAAGATAGCTACACCAGCTTGCTTCTTAGGTCCCTTTGATTGGAAAGTCTTTTCCCAATCCTTCATTCTGAGGTAATATTTCTCTTTGAAGTTGAGGTAGCTTTCTTATATGCAGAAGAAGGATGGCTCCTATGTTTGTATGCACTCTCATAGCCTCTTTCATTGTATAGGTGAGTTGAGTGCACAAATATTAAGGGATATCATGACCAGTGAATGCTAATTCCTATAATTTCTTGGTGGTGGTGGTGTGTGTGTTTCCCTTTTTTTAGTATTTTCTGGTGTGGGATTATCTATTGCCTGTGTTTTCCTTGAGTACTCTATCCTCTTTGGGTTAGAGATTTCCTTCCAGTGCTTTCTGTAGGGCTGGATTTATGGATAGGTATTGTTTAAATCTGATTTTTTTCATGGAATATTTTATTTTCTTGATCTATGGTGATTAAAAGTTTTGCTTGGTATAGTAGTCTTGGTTGGCCTCCATGGTCTCTTAGAGTCTACATAATGTCTGTCCAGGAATTTCTGGCTTTGAGAGTCTCCTTTGAGAATTCCCATGTTATTCTGATCAGTCTGCCTTTATATATTACTTGGCCTTTTTCTTTGCCTTCTTTATTCTGTATATTTTGTGTTATTATTATGTGGTTAGGGAATATTATGTGGCAGTAGCCTTGAACACATTGGCATAGGAGACCACTACCTAAATATAATACCAATAACACAGGCACTGAAAACAACAATTAATAAATGGGACCTTCCGAAACTAAAATCTTCTGTAAGGCAAAGGACACTATCAATAAGACAAATTGACATCCTACCGAATGTGAAAAGATCTTGCCCAACACCACTTCTGACAGAGGACTGATCTCCAACATATATAAAGAATTCAAGAAAAAACCCCATCAAAATAAAAAATACCCAATTGAAAAAATGGGTTACAGCGCTCAACAGAGAATTCTGACCAGAAGAATCTCAGATGCCCAAAATACATTTAAGGAAGCAATCAACATCCTTAATCATCAGGGAAATGCAAATCAAAATGACTATTGATACCATTTTACACATGTTAGAATGATTAAGATCTTATATGTTAGAGAGAATATAGAGTCAAGGGAACACTCCTCCATTGCTGGTGGGAGAGCAAATTTGCACTGCCACTTTGGAAATCAGTATAGTGTTTTCTAAGATAATGGGGAATCAATCTATCTCAAGACACAGCGATACCACTCCTGGGCAGCTACCAGGAGGATGCTCAATCATACCACAGGACACCTGCTCAACTATGTCCATAGCAACATTATTCATAATAGCCAGAACCTGGAAACAACTTATCTGTCCCTCAATCAAAGAATGGATACATTTACAAAATGAAGTATTACTCAGCTGTATAAAATGATGACCTCCTGAAATTTGTAGGTAAATAGATGGAATTGGAAAATACCATCATGAGTAAAGTAACCCAGACTCAGAAAGACAAACATGATATGTATTCACTCATAAGTGGATATTAAGACGGGAATGAAAGAATAACCAGACTACAATTTACAGCCGGAGAGAAGTTAGGTAACATGGAGGACCCCAACCAGGACACATGATTCACTCTGGGAAGGTAATTAGATGAGACTTACTGGGTAACCTGGGGACATGTTCAGGGTGTGGTAAGGAGAGTGGAGGGGGAATGAGAACATGAGGGAACCCGATGGGGGAATGGGGTTGCATGGAGGAGGAGTGAAAGAGAGAGTGTAATAGAGCCACTTTGAGGTTAGGAAGAAACCTAGAGTAATTCCCAAAAATCTACAGGGTGACCACAGCTAAGACACTTAGAATAACAGAGAGGATGTGCAAACTGGCCTTCCCCTGCAATCAGACTGGTAAATACCTCAACTGTCATCATAGCACCCCATCCAGCAATGGATGGAACCAGACTCAGAGATTCACAACCAAGAGCCAGGCCTAGCTCCAGGAATCCAGTCAAACAGAGAGGGGAGGGAATGTATGAGCAAGGAAGGTCAAGATCATGATGGAGAAATTCTGCAGAGTCAGCTGAACCAAGCTCATGGAAAGTCATGAACTCTAGACAGCAGTAAAGAATTCAGGGGTCTGAACTAGGCCCTCCTTATATGGATGACAGTTATGAAGCTTGGACCATCAGAGGGGCTCCTGGCAGTAGGACCATGTTACAAACATGATACATGAGGCAGCTTGCAGGAGCCCATTCCCTAGGTGGGATGCCGTACTCAGCCTTAATGCATGGGAAGGGCTTGAACTTGCCCTAATCTACTGTGTCAGAGTCGGTGACTCCTCATGAGAGCCCTTACATATGAGGAGGAGTGGCCCAGAGGTGTTCTAGAGGGGAGGTAGGAGTCGGATGAAAGGAGGGGTGGGAGGAAGAACTATGGATGGAATGTAAAATGAAATTTAAAATAAATTATAAGAAAATACTATTCATTCTTAAGTTAGGGTATTGTGCAAGTTTTACTTACTTGTCTGAACCACCAGCCCACAGATATTGACAGGGGGAATTCTTTTTTTTAAATTTAATTCTATTAAATTAACACTTTCAATGCACTTTACATACCAACCACATTTTCCCCTCCTAGGTAAAATGAACAGGCCCAGCTGAACTGACTGGTGGTAAAAGTGATAAAAAAGGAAACAGCATCCCTTAAATTAGTGTACCCAATGTCCCAACAGAATCCCTTCTACAATATGTTAATGCTTGGAATCTTCCCTAAGATCAGTGGGGAATGAACTATCTAAAGTGACTCCAGCTTATCTGAGTTTCATCCAACTGCTTCCCACCCCCAAATTGTTCTGATGATCAGAACTGAAAGTGTTGGAGCCTCTGTCAAGCCTGTCTGTGTGATGAAATTGTGGGTTTGACTCTATGAACCCAACCATACTCACTTTGGTGTAGAGATCCTTCTGGCACAAGTCTGCTGTCAACCTCTGCAAAGAAATGATGAAATGACTCTCAGTCTGACCAGCACTGAGTTCCCTTTCCCTGACTCTTACACTACAGTGGAGACTCAACAAAGAGAAAAACCTAGGAGATAACCATAAATAAAACACAGCTTGCTGTTGGGAAAATACAAAGCTGAAGAGACTTAAGTCATCATAAACATCTGAGAGATGTGCTTTGACAACACAGACATGAAGAGAGACCTAAAGAATGATTCTCATAGAATCATGTTTCAAGACACAGAGGAAATTTGTGGGATTTTGGACCTAACTCTACCCCTGACCCCTCATTCCTACACACCTGGGTACACGGTGGCTGCTTCTTGTCTCTTAATTCCTGAAAATGAAGCATATGAAACTCGCTGTTGAAATGTTCCCATGAGATACAGTACAAAGGGAGTAAGATACATGTTGATGGTGAAATAAGAATTCACTATGGATGACATCCTCACCCAGGAACAGCAGGTTGCTGTAATTCTCCAACATCACATCCCTGTACAGATTCCACTGAGCGGGCTCCAGATATTTCCTCTCTTCTGGAGAGAAATCAATGGCCACATTCAAGAAGGACAGCTTTTCCTGAAACAACGACCAATTTATGATAACACACTTTAATTTAATTAAATCCAGTAATGATATAAATACCAAGACCCATTGGGCTGACTAGTTCTTGTGTCAAATTGACATTAGCTAGGGTCATTTGATAAAAGAGAAACATAATAGAGAAAATGACTACCTAAGGCTATCCTGTGCCAAGCAGAGAGGGTATTTTTTAATTAGTGATTGATATGAGACACCACAGCCTACTATGGGTGGCACCCACCCTGGGAGGGGATCCTATATGGCACAGGAAAGCAGGTTGTGCAAGTCAGTAAACTTGTTCTTTCATGACCTCTCCTCAAGCTTTTGCCTCAGGTTACAGCCTTGACTTCCCTCGGTGATGGACAGTTATCTGAAGTTGTAGTCTACAAAAAATCCTTTCTTCTCCAAGCTGTCTTTCTTCAAGGTCTTTATCACAGCAATAGAAACCCTAACACAGTCATTGTGTGACTGTGGATACAAATCTAGATTTTGCCCATCATGAAAGAGAGCTAGAAATGTTTTTTGCATAATTGAGTAATATTCCTCAGACATGTCTGAAGTGGTCACATGATTTCAAACTGTACCCATGTTCAATGAAAGACAAAGAAAAAAATCCTATAAGCCCAGTTGGACAGGATCCAATTAAGACACATGAAGTGTAAAATGAATGCATCCACAGAACATGCATTTAGTGCTATGTCCTCCCATACACCAGAGATGCATACACTTTAGAATTTCATAGTAGTGAACCGTTGGGTCTCAGGTATTTCCTCTCTTAATTCTTATACTGGCAGAGAAAATGAACACAATCCAGACTCAAGACCCTCACACCAGGCAGGCTGGAGTACAGGAGGGGTCAGACACCCCGTTTGCTCTAAGACACTCAGCATCCATGTGAGAAGGGCTCAGCTCATGAAGCTGCTTCCCCACCAAAGCTGCTCAGGGAGCTTCCAGTTCCACCTCAGGAGCAGGTAGTCAGCTGACCATCGTTAGCTTGCAGTCCTGGTCACCTCAGCTGACCATCGTTAGCTTGCAGTCCTGGTCACCTCAGCTGACCATCGTTAGCTTGCAGTCCTGGTCACCTCAGCTGACCATCACTAGCTTGCAGTCCAGGACCTTGGGCTCTCATCTACTCCATGCTCCCTGACAGTTCTCCTGTCCCAGAAGCCTAAGGAGGACCCGGGCTGAGAGTCCTAAGGAAACCTTCAAGGCAGCTTCTCCACTTTCCCACCCAGCAGTGGTCCACCCCCTCCAAGATGGACCGCACCATGCACAGAGCCTCAGGCTGCGCTGCACCCTGGACCAACCTCCAAGTCAGAGATGCAGCAGGAGACACAGCAGGGGTGGACTGTCGCGGAAGATGCACTTGTAGTCCTGCGGTTTCTTGGACTTCTCTCTGTGATGTCACAGTCGAAAGGACTACATTTCCCAGAAGTCTGAGGGAAGTAATTCCTGGAGTCCTGCGTGGTGATTTTTACTCTCTCTGGACTTGTGTCTGGATGCTGGTAAGAGTCGGCTGGGCTTCTGTTGGCCTGAGAAAAACAAATTGCAGGAATGTCTGATTAAACTGTTGTACCCAAGTAGGGACGATTCTCAAAGACCACCAGGTGACAGAATCACTGTTGCAGACACACAAGGTTTATTGTTCTATCCCACTGTGGTGGGGACCAGTTCAGCAAGCAGAGGAAGTGAATTCCTTGTCTATTGCTAGGTTTTTTAAAGGAAAAAAAAAAAACCTGCAAGGTTACATCAGCGGAAGGGTAGAAGTATGGGTCAGTTCCTGATTGGTTGACATTTAGGGGAATTTTTCATTCTCTTTTTTTTTCATGAAATACCATTTATCATTTATTCTCATTGTTTTGTTGCTTGCAGGTGGCCTGTTGTACATAGCTACCAATAGTTTTCGGGAACTATCCTAGAGACTAAAGAGGAGGATTTGGTAGTTCCTTTGTGTCGTGTGCTGAGTCAGAGGCCTACACGTCTTTTCTGTAGTCTGTCATCGCTGCTAAAGCAGGGGGCTGGGTGAGGGTCCGGTCCCTTCAAAAGCAAGCTCTATTTTACAGGAGCACCAGGAAGTGGCCATTGGCTTTCTCTTCCAAAGTTGGTCTTTCAGAGAGCGCTCCTCATTGCCTTTTGAGGTCTCTTTTTGAGGAAGTGTTTGGGTTCATAGAAAAAGCTGTCGAGCAATTGGCAATTAGAGATGATGAAATAAAGAGAAAATGTGTCATAGAAAACAGCTTTTGAAATAATTGGCCGTTAGACAGGATGAAATTTTAAACTGCTTAAGTTCAGTAACCCATCCTGTGGAGGGGAATCATAAAGCTATCTGGAAAAAAAACATTTTCTTAAGGCAAAACCACAATCATCATACTTTATTTTTATAAGTCATGCAGGGACCATGCAGCATGGAGTCACAACTTCAGCACTGATTGGAACATGGTTTGCAGGGTACGTTAGGCTTAGGAAAAAGAAACATATTGAAGGGACCAGCCCCCTGCACCCACTGTTTTCGCAGCCATGACAGGCTAACATGTGCTCACCTGGTCTTACCCCTCCTCTCCTGGTCACTAGGAAGTCAGATGCCTTCCTCCTGGCAAGGAGCCAATCAGAAGTTAGCTGGCTGGGTTGTGCTTTACGGCTCTGGGCGTGCTTTACTGACAAGTGCACAACAGTGATTTACAGAGCACAGCAACTGCCTGGGAGGGCCTATGGGCCATAACAACCAGTTGACCAATCAACACAGGGCAGATTGTCCAAGTCTGGACGTGCACCAATCCTGAGATTGTTGCAAACCCCTAGACACTCCGCTTATGCTGCCCTATAAGATCCCTGCCTCATGGTTTCTCAGGGTCTTTCTCCAGCCATTAGTGTGGTGAATGGATGAAAGGCCAGAGCTAATGGGGTTAGCTCGTTAAACAATTACAATAGAAGACTCTTTGCTTTTCATTGAAATGGACCTCTGGGTGATTGATTGGGCACAACAGTATACTTTTAAGCTGTGGAGACTTAATAGCAATGTATAAAAATGTGGTTTCTTTTTTTTTTTTTTTTTTTTTTTTTTTTTGGTTTTTCGAGACAGGGTTTCTCTGTGGCTTTGGAGACTATCCTGGAACTAGCTTTGTAGACCATGCTGGTCTCGAACTCACAGAGATCCACCTGCCTCTGCCTCCCAAGTGCTGGGATTAAAGGCGTGCGCCACCACTGCCCAGCAAAATGTGGTTTCTTAACAACAGCATGGCTACTGTTTTGGTGTCAAAAAGCAATGGGCACTCAGTCTGATGCTCACCTCCAGGTCCATTGTATGACGTGTGAATGTCAGTCAAGACTTTGACATAAATATTAGACTCAGGTGCTATTTCTGATCCATACGTTCTGATTTAATCTACCTGCATTAAAAATCACATTAAACCACTTTAAAAGGATACAGCAATACTGTGTGGAGTAATCTTTTTGTACATTGTAAAGATTTGTCTTTGCCAAGGCAACCTCTGATTAGTTTAATACAGATGAATGGACAATAGAATGGCAGGAGAAGACAGGTGGGATTTCCAGGGAGACAGCAGAAAAGATGAATCTTGCTGCCTAGAGACACCAGCTATACTGGGACTATGTTGGGCTGACAGAATGGAGGAGAGGGAAAAATGCCATGTGGCAGGTAGTAGATTCATAATGGAAGATTAAATTAAGTTGTAAGAGCTAAGTGAAGGAGAGACTAAGCTAAGGCCAAGAGTTCATAAATAGAAGACTTTCTAAGCATGTTTCCCATGATGGATTACATCGTCCACCTTTGGGGGGGGGGAGATGAGCTAGGTACCACCTATACTTGGAGTGTCATGCTTTTTCAAGCCCATGGAGACTGAAGATGATGGATGGGAGGAGGATAGATGGCAGCCTGGGAAGGGGACTTCAGGAGGGGAAAATAAATAAATAAATGAATAAATACTACTAATAAAATATGAATGAATAGACATACACGGTAAAGCAGTTTCAGTAGAATTTAAGCTTTGTGTTAGCATGTAGTACTATATATAAATAATCCATGTTCCTTTGTACTGACAATCTGCATATCCCACACATGGATCCAACTCCATGGCTTGTAAAACAGTTTTCCTGTGAACAATAGAATCCCTACAGGGTAGAAGGTTCTCCAGGGACACAGAGAAGGTATAATCACTGAACAAGGTTAAAGCTCAACTCTCTGACATTTACAAAGAATTCCATGATCCTACTCAGGATTAGTCACCTGTCCTTAACTCCTGTGAAACTCTCAACTGTTAATCTGTGTAAATATTTCAAGTTTCGGAGGGTTCTACTAGAATTTTAACAATATTCCCATTTATTTATTTGTTTGTAATTTTTTTGTGTTTAATAAACCCAGGTGTGTATTCACCACCAGGTATGCTATGAGCTCATGATTATGCCCCCGGCTTCTCTCCAAAGTGAATTGACTCAGGTCCTGGGTCAAACAGGTGTGTGTGATGACTCTAAGAGCAAGGTAAACTCCATCCTCAGAAAAAGCCACCCTGAGAAATTCCCTGCTTGACACAAGGCTGATTCAGCTCCAGTCAAGGAACCATAAACAGTTCCAAGGGGCACTCAAACTGTGCCTACCCCAGACAAAGTGACCCCATCCTGGTGGCCAGGCAATGACTAATTTTGGTAAATAACATTTTCTCATCACAACTGTCTTTGTGGACAACCATTAGTAACAATTTGAAATTCCCCTAGCCCCTATGAAAATGACACCTACTCTTATCCAATCCTGAACAGCCAAGGCATGTACCACCCTGCTGCAGTTTTTTTCCTTTAAAAAACTCCTTATAATTAAGGCCAGGTACCCTTTCCCTGCAGCTGCTGCACCAGTTTTCTGGACAGGGTCCCTGCTGAGGCTTGTAACTTAACATTAAACCTTATATGTTTGCATCAGTCAGTCGGCTACTTGGTGGTCTCTTTTGGGGTCTTCCAAACTTCACATAACATATGAGGGCTTGTCCTGGATACCCAAGACACCAAGGACTCCTGACCCTGATGGTTTAATTCTTGACCAGTTGTGTAAGTGTTTTGTGTTTGTTTGTCAAATTTCTGTGGTTTCATTCTTTTCTGTTTTTGTTGCTAGCAGACTGAGAAACAGATCAAGAAGACCTTGGCAGACATGCCCATAAGGTCAGATCTGGAGGAAGAGTCCAGTAACATCCCTCTTCCTCAAGTGGATGGGAGCCCGCTGGGGGTTGCCCTGTCAGGAGTGTATGGGGGCCCTTTGGGGACTGTCCTGTCAGGATTTTTTAATCCAATTTGTACTTTTGTAACTTCTGGAACAGCTACTGGGGAGTTTGCATCTTGTTTGAGAATCTGAAACTTTCAAGTCTTTGAGACCAGCTCTTCCTCTTGTCGAAATGCTGTGTTTGTTTGTCTTGTCTTGATGGTATTGACAGTACAGTCATTGATCGGACACAACCTAACATGGGACAGACACCTTCCTCCCCTCTGCCTTCCAATGGGTCTCTGACTGACTCATTGGAAGGACATAAAATGGAGAATCTGGGATTGTAGTTAAAAATGTTGGGAAAAATTTTTCTGTTAGGAACACTGGCAGTCAAGGACGCTATGCCCAGTGCTGCTTCCCTCCTCTCTTCCCTCCTAAACCAAATTCTTCACTGTGATAACAGTCAAGGTCTCTTCTGCCAGCCAGCAGCTTCCCACATTAACCCTTCTCCGTCCTGATTCTGCTTGGAAAACAAAAATGTTAAATTATGCCAGTCTATATAATTTGGGAAGCTTTGACTTTAAAATAAAAGACAAAGATACATTATGTTTGGGGAAAAATATGCTTTTGTTTCCACAGGAAAAGAAAAATATATAGATTTTAGTCATTTAAATCTAATGGGTTACATTTACTTGTCATCATTTAAGATGTTTCACACTTTTACCAGGGTTTTATTATGTTGATACAAGTTTAGAGTTATTAAAACCACAAGAATGACTTTGGTAAAAGTTTTTATGTTGACTAAGAAATGAGAGAAAAAGTAGGAGATTAAAGTAATAAAGAGCAAAAGGGAAAGAGAAATTTATCTAAAGTACAAAGTAAAAATGTCTAAGGGAATTAAAAACAGAGACTAAAGGTAATATAGAAAGTGATAGAGTCAAAGAAAGTTGTTGAAGGTCAGAGGAAAGTCATCAAAGGTCAGAGTAAAAGTCATCGAAGGTCAGAGAGAAATGTCAACTATGTTTGCTATGGTTTCTCATTCTTGCAAATACTAAATTTCAAAAATTGGTAATATAAGTTAAAATTTTAATCATATTATGTTAATTCTGCTTTAAAATTTTTTTTTCAAAAAATTGTGTATGCTTGTTCTGATAAAAGGTTTTGTCTATGTTTTCTGGTGTACATATCTATACACAAGAATGCTAACCTTTGTCATTTAATAGTCACCCAGGTGATAATGGTTTTAAAGGCATAAAGGGTATTTTATTTTTGATATTACAAACATACATGAAAAGATTTTAAATATTTAAATTTATAAGACATTTGTGCTCATAAAATGTTTTTATTGTTTATATTTGTACTTAAAAAGCAAAAATTTAGGGGCTGGTCCAGTAGTTAAGAGCACTGACTGCTCTTTCAGAGGACCTGGTTTCAATTCCCAGCACCCACATGGCAACTCATAACTGTCTGTAATTTCAGTTCCAGAGGACCTGACACCTATGGCAAAGCACCATAGGTGCATATAGAATAAAAATTAATAAAAAAGAATTAATTATTTTTTTAAAAAAGCTAAATTTTAAGATCATAGCTATAAGCACTATATGCTAACCAAAAATTGGGATGTTTGTTTACTGAGATACAGTAAGACAATGACCTAAATCTGAATAAGAGCTTGGAGTAGCTTCTAAACCCACAAGTCTCAATCCTTTTGTGGTTGAAAAAACTTTGTCTGGGGTGGGCACAGTGTGGGTGCTCCTTTGAACTGTTTATGGTTCCTTGGCTGGAGCTGAATCAGCCTTGTGTCAAGCAGGGAACTTCTCAGGGTGACATTTTCTGAGGATGGAGCTCACTCCATCCTCTCCAGTTTACCTTGCTCTTACATTCCCATTTGGACAATTTAAAAGACCCTGAGGAACTTTGGGGTACAAGTTCTACTGTCATCTTGTCCCCTATATAAGGTGTTTGATTGTCAGATCCCAAACACTGTCACATGGGAACCCTTTCAGCACAGAAGAGGAAACTGAACACAACAGATCCAACTTCTGCAGAGGGAATTCCAGCAATGGATAATGGGTGAGTTGTCATTGTTATGCTAAGTTCGTGAGACCCAAAAAGAGACCACCAAGTAGCCGACTCACTGATGCAAATGGATAAGGCTTAATGTTAGAAGCCTCAGCAGGGACCCTGCCCAGAAAACTGGGGCAGCAGCTGCAGGAAAAGGGTGCCTGGCCTCAATAGTACCAGCCAAGCAGCCCGGGGTCCATTCCTGAGTGGGGGAGTGTGAATGAGGGAAAGGCTAGCTATAGACATTCAAGGAAAGACAGAAACATAGGATAGTTTCAGGAGGGCAGTTTCAGTTCACATTGAATGTGCCTCTGTTTATTCATACATCATCTTAAGTAACCAGCCAAAGGTAGTAACAA